GAGGTCGGCTTGGCAGAAGATTCCCCCAAAATGCCCCTGAAGGCTCTGCACCCACTGCTGGAAGATGGGTGCATTGAAGACGATCCGGCCCCCCACAAAAAAGTCGGCTTCATAGGTATTTCCAACTGGGCCCTCGACCCTGCCAAGATGAACCGGGGCATCTTTGTGTCCCGCGGCAGCCCCAGTGAGAAGGAGCTCATAGAGAGTGCCAGGGGGATCTGCTCTTCAGACAGCCTGGTGCAGGACAGGGTCCAAGGGTAYTTCGCTCCCTTTGCCAAAGCCTATGAGATGGTGTGCCAGAGGCAGGACAAGGAATTCTTCGGGCTTCGCGACTACTACAGCCTCATCAAGATGGTCTTCGCCACCGCCAGAGCTTCTAACAGGAAGCCTTCCCCGCAGGAGATTGCGCAGGCGGTCCTTCGGAACTTCAGTGGCAAAGATGACATCCCCGCTTTGGACATCTTTACGGCCAGCTTACCTGCGGCCAGGTGCATGGGAGAGGTCAGCACCCTGGAGCTCATTAAGCAGAACATTTGTTGGGGCTTGCAGAGGGGGGCACTTGGAGAGCTGGAAGATGCTGAATCCCGCTACTTGCTGGTGCTGACCAAAAACTACGTGGCCCTGCAGATCCTGCAGCGATCATTCTTCAGTGAGGACCAGCAGCCCGAGATCATCTTTGGTTCCAGTTTTCCCCGGGACCAGGAGTACACCCAGATCTGCAGAAACATCAACCGGGTGAAGATCTGCATGGAGACGGGCAGGATGGTGGTGCTGCTGAACCTGCAGCACCTCTACGAGAGCCTGTATGACGCGCTCAACCAGTACTACGTCTACCTTGGGGGCCAGAAGTACGTGGACCTCGGGCTCGGCACCCATCGCGTCAAGTGTCGGGTCCACCCCGACTTCCGCCTGATCGTCATCGAGGAGAAAAATGTGGTGTACGAGCAGTTCCCTGTGCCCCTCATTAACCGGCTGGAGAAGCACTACCTGGACCTCAGCTCGGTGCTGCAGGGGTGGCAGAAGGGCATCGTGCAGGAGCTCACGCGGTGGGCAGAGCAGTTTGCTAATGTAAAGGACCATCATCAGTTCATGCCTGGGCACAAGTATACCCCTGCTGATGTCTTCATCGGCTACCACTCCGACGCCTGTGCCTCCGTGGTGCTGCAGGCTGTGGAGAGGCAGGGCCCTGGGGACCCGTCCGAGGAGCTGTACCACAGGGTGTTCGAGGAGGCCAAGCTGATCCTGCTGGACTGTGCCACGCCGGATGCCATGGTGCGGCTGAGCACCTCTGAGCTGGGCTCATTTGCTGCACAGTTGCTGTCGCACGAATACTGGTACAAGCAGCAGCACCACTCCTTTGCCRATTTCCTCCAAGCCCACCTTCGCACCGCAGACCTGCAGCGCCATGCCATCTTCACAGAGGTGACTGTCCCCATAGCTTCCCCYGTCCTCTTTCATCCAAGAGTCTTGATCTGGGGCCAGGACGTCTCAACTCCATTAAGTCAGCGCATGGTGGGGGAGGCGGGAGTGTCCCCTCTGTGTCAGTCGCAGAGGATGAGCTCAGTTAGGCTTCCCTTGCCTGTGGGTGAGCAGCGCTCTGCTCTGAGAGCAGCACTGGGTTCAGTGTTCACTTGCTGGCCCTCCCGGGGTGTCAGTCGATTGGCCTGCTTCTCATCCTTGGACCTTGTTAGAGGAACGGACGAGGATGCCTCCCAACAGATGCCCTGAGTGTCATAGGTCAATGTTGTGTAGCCAGGTGAGGGTACGGATCACAGGCAGTTCAGAGAGGCCTCTTGGGCTGGCTGTGAGGGCTGGCTGGCAGGCATCAGAGGCAGAGGGCTCCGTGGAGCACAGACACTGAGTCTGAATCAGCATCTGTGCAGGAGACGAGGAGGGGACCACTGACYGAGCATGAAGTTCAGGCTGTGAGTGCTGGGTCCTGGGGATGGGATAGGTGGAGAGATGCATGGAGGCCTGTCAGCAGCCTTGACCTTGGTCCTGCCTGCACAGGAGCTGTGGAGAAAGGTGTGCGTAGATGTACCCCTTGCTTGGGCGATGGCAAGACAGTGGAGCAGGAGACTGACATTGAGAGGATAGACCTGTCAAGAGGCGGCTGGCGTGGTGTAAACTGCAGACGGTTAGCAGGCAGTGTGGCCGAGGTAGTCACCAACTCCATGGAGGGTACAGAGGTGGAGGATAGTCTTCCTGAGCTCACTGCAGCTTTGCGCAATTGCCATGGAGAATCCAGGAAGGAGCAACAGGTTTAGGAGCCAGTAGTGGCATCTGTTTGGCAGAGTTTGTGTGTCTGCTGTGGTCGAATGTGAGAATTGGAAGCTGGTCATTGAGGACAGACCCAGAGAAGGGATCTGAAGTCAGGGATGAAGGCCACACTGATAATCCCAGAGGCTTGGGAGGCTGAGGCAGGAGCACCGAGAGTCCAAAGCCAGCCTCAGCAATTTARCAAGGCCCTTGAACTCGGCGAGATCCTGTCTCTGTATAAAATATAAAAAAGGACTGGGGATGTGGCTTAGTGGTTAAGCTCTCCTGTGTTCATACCCTGGTACTGAAAAGAAAAAAAAAAGAAAGAAAAAGAAGGGGTCTGGGGAGCTGAGGTCCCGTGTGCCGGGAACAGCTGGGTTTGCACTGTGGAGTGTGGTCCATGGCAGAGAATGCAAAGTACCAGGGAGGAAGAGTTGGTGGAGGCTAACTCTAGTTTTTAGCTGAGCCCTAAAGGATCAGGAGGCTTTTAGCTGGGGACCAAAGCAGGAAGAGAGACGTTGGCATCTTAGAAGGATACCGAGGCATCTTTGGGGCGGGGCAAGTCTTCTCTCTGCTGATCCTGGAGATCCTCGCCTCGGCCACCCTTGCATGTCAAAGCTGCTCTGGGTCGGGCTTCTTTCTGTTCGAATGCCCACTGACCCCGGGTTCCGACCCAGTGCTCTGTGCCCTTGCTTGAATTCAGCTGATGGCTCGTGTGCCCACATTGCAGATCACCACCTTCTCCAGACTGCTGACGAGCCATGACTGCGAGGCCCTAGGGGCAGAGGTGAAGGGCTTGGCCCCGAAGCCCGTGATCCTGTCACTGCAGCAGTTCGACACTGAGTACTCRTTCCTCAAGGAAGTCCGGTGAGCTGCCCWGCCTGCCCATCACCCTTGGCCTCTGTCCTGGGTTCCAGGTGTGTGTGCCAGGGCGTGGTAACCACTTGTCAGGAACTCTGAGAGGGTCATTGCTCGGTCCCCTGGTATGACCCTCTGGCCCCAGCTGTAAGTGGCCTTGTCTACAGTCATGTCCACCTGTCTCCTGAGCATTGCCTAGGCCTCTCCTTCGCCAGTGGATTGCGTCCTCACTTGTGGAGGGGACCCCACCCAGATGCTGGGTTCTGCATGGCCTGACTTTCCCTTTGCTTTGTGGAGTACTGTGTTCCATGTTTTTGTTTTGTTTCACCTGTGGTGCTGGAGATCGGACCCAGCCACTCTACCGCTGAGCTGCGTCCCTAGCCCTTCATTATTATTATTTTAGATTGTGAGACACCATCTTGCTGAGTTGCTGGGGCTGGCCTGGAACTTGCRGCCCTCCTGCCTCAGCCCTTGATCTGTGGCTCCCGTGTTTTAGGACAGAGGACTCACTTGGGTGATCCCTTTTTCTTCCAGAAGCAGCTTAGTGAAGACGGCCAGATGTAAAATCCTCATCGTCCAGATGGATTTTGATGACGGCGCTCACAGTGCTCAGCTTGTTGCGTCAGCTAAGTATGTTCTTGGGATTTTTCTCAGAAAATCATTGTAAGCCAAAAGCTACCCAGGACCTCTTAGAGAATTTCCTCCCTGAAAAATGGTGTGGAGACAAGAAAGACTCTCCCGCCCAGCCCCTGACATGGGCTAGAGACACTAGAGAGGAAAGGTGAAGGGAAAAGCCAGGAATGGCCCAAAGGTGTGAAATGCAAGACCCATCGATAATGGAATGTTCGTGTGGGTGGAAGAATGCGTTAAAGCCTCTGTTTGCAGTCATGTTTGGGTCATTTTGGTTTTGAATTGCACGATTTGAATTAAAGGACAGTGTGGGGTGCAGCTTGGTGGTAGAGCACTTGCCTAGCATGCCTGAGGCCCTGGGTCAGATCTCCAGCACTGCAGATAAAGGAAATCACTTAATACAAGTTTAAGGGCAGTAAGACGATGTAAATGAATTAATGTTTATGTACATTTTTATAGTGTCCATAGAGGAAATGTGATGCTTTCAGAATTAGCTGTATTCTGTCACCTTATGTCACTTAAGAGTGACTTCTGCCTTTTTAAAGCACTGAGACCCTAGTACAAGATCCAGCCTGATCCRACAGGGGGGGTTACAAGGACACAGGACCAAAGGGTACTCTCTCGAAATGGCAAGACTGGCAAGCCCCCTGCTCTGGCACGTGTGGCCCCTGAGGAGTGCTGCGTGGGGGTTCTGGTYAGCAATGAGAGGGAGGAAGTGAGCCCGCCAATAGGAAGCCACCCTCCTCCTGTCACAGAGATGTGGTGGCCCCTGGCATTGTGGAATGTGGCCAAACCCCCATCAGCTCCTGGGACATTCAGCAGCCACATCATGACTGGGCTTTTGTTTAGTTGCTTGCTTTGTTTTGATTTTGTTCTCTCAATAGGTATTCTGCCATCAATGAAGTCAACAAAACGCAAGGAACTCAGGGCTGTGTCTTCGTCTATTTCATCACAAAACTGTCCCGCATGGGGAGCGGAGCATCCTACGTGGGATTCCATGGAGGTAGGGCCAAAATACCAGTGACTGTCTTTAAGTAGGTCTGAGCTGCTTCTCTGGTCCCAGGCTGCCCACACCCAGCTCAGATACCAACCCCTGCTGTCTCTGGGCCCCTCGCCCTGGGATCTGCTGCTGTGTCAGCATGGCCTGGCCCACCTCAGGAGCACACAGCATGTGCTCATGCTCCTGCTCTTCACTTGCGCCTGCTCTGGGGAAACACTATCTTCAAATCAGCCCATCTCTTTTTCTGTGGAATGGTCACMAGCTGGATTATATAAGACAATTGTTATTCTGGAAAGAGAGAAATAAGTCTTATAATTTCATAGGTGGAAAGCCAACCCGTCAGCACCTTGTAGCCCTTTCTAAGTAATATACAATAAGTACAGTAAGATGCACATAAAGAACCACAAACTGAGCCGGGTGCAGTGGCACATGCCTGTAATCCCAGCAGCTCAGGAGGCTGAGGCAGGAGGATTTATAAAGGCTGGTCCCAAACCAGCCTTTATAAAAGCAAGGTGCTAATTGAATCAGTGAGACCCTGTCTYTCAATAAAATACAAAATAGGGCTGGGGATGTGGCTCAGTGGCCGAGTGACCCTGAGTTCAGTCCCTGGATCCATGCAGCCTTTGCATACCATTTAATCAGGCTCAGTATCATGTTGATGGTGAGCATGCTGGTGTGGATCTATTGGTCTGGTGGGTTTTGGTGTGTTCAGGAGCGTAGACTCTGAGGTACTAATTGTCCCTCTGGCTAAGTAGTGTGATTAAAAATCTGGACAGAGGTGTGTCCCTACTTATAACTGGTAAGAAGAGAGCCGCAAAGACTTGAGAATACCTCATGGCTTTGTTCCTCACAGGACTGTGGAGGTCTGTGCACATCGATGACCTCCGGAGGTCCACAGTCATGGCCTCTGATGTGACCAAGCTGCAGAGTTTCACCATCAGCCAGCTGTTCATGCCAGGAGGCAGCCCTGAGCGTGAGTTGTAGGTGGCAGTCTGGGGAGGTGGGGGAAGGCAGGTGGAAGGAGCTGAGCTCGCAGCCTTCTGTGGTGCCGGAGTCGGTGCTGCCATGCTTGAGTCATCTCTGGTCTCAGCACCTGTCCTCTGCAGGAACTCAGGATGTGCCTGGCTCACAGTCCAGATCGCCAGGGYCACGGGCGGGCCATCGAGCACACCCAGTGTACCAGCTGATGTGCTGTGGGTCATGTGCCAGCTCTCAGCCCAGGCTGTGGGCCAACTGACCAGTGGATTTTGTGGTGATCTGGAGGATCTGGGGCCGCCATGGAAGCTTGGGACAGGGGAAATGCTGGCGAGACCCAGCCRAAGCACAGATGTGGTACCACCCACCCACTTCCTTCTCCAAGTGGTAACTTGATCGTGTTTCCTTCACTTGCAGCGAAAGGCAACCAGGAGGAGGTGATGGAGGTAGAAACCAGCAAGTCAGGGGAGGTGACAGAAGAGGAATTGGAAAGGGAAGGTCCTGAGGAGATGGGGTGTGAGGCTGCGGATCTGAGGGACAGTGATGTGAGTTCTGGGGGAGCCCTGCAGCTGTTCTGGGGTCAGGCTGACCCCTGACTTCTCTCTCCACTTGTCAGGACTTACCAGGACAAGATCTGCCATTCCCTTCTTTATGAAGCCCCCTAGGTAGCTCTGCCCCTTCCCTCAACCTCTGACGAAATCCCTGATGTCAGCCACCACCTTGCCAGTGGTCCTCAGGGGGTCAAGCAACACGGGTYCCAGCCCAGGGAGGTCGGTAGGTCRGCCTCGCCTTGGAGACTCACATGAGGCCATCCTCTCAGGGGTAGCTTGGCTTTCACCCTCCCTGGCCATGGCAGCAGCAGACGACGTGCTGTCTCCCTGGCAGGCACAGGTCCTGGACACCACCAGACTGCTGCGGAGCTGTGTGCAAAGTGCGGTGGGCATGCTCCGGGACCAGGAGAGCTGCCCACGCAACGTGAGGAGAGTCACCGTCCTCCTCAGCCTCTTGAGCGGAGTCGGCAGGTGCAGTGGTACGAGTCGGGGCCCAGCTTCTCACCCTGCTCCAGCAGGCCCTTCCTGAGCAGTGGGCAGCCGCTGGCTTGGCAGCTGGCGTAGTGGGGATCCAAGGCCCTCTCCTGACTTCTGCTCTAGAGTTGGCCTGCCCAGAGGACCCGAGGCTTCCCTCTTTGGGGAAGCCAGACAAGCAGTACCACAGAGCCTGCAACTTGGTGCCCCTGTGTGGAACCGATTCTGTCCCTTCTGTCTTTTCACAGCCGCGTTCTTGCGGATATCCAAGAAGCGCCTCTATGTCCTTCTAAAGAAGCAAGAGGAGAACCAGCTCTGTAGTCTGAAGGAGTGGGTGGGGCGAGAGGCCGCGAACCAGGATGCGCTCCAGGAGGCCGGCACCTTCAGGTGTGGAGGGTGGCGGGGCGTGGGGACCTCCGTGCCCTCTGTGCCCCCCAGCTGGGGGAGCGCAGCAGGTGTTTCTCTACCTCTGAGCATGCAGAGCTTTATTTCTGCTTCAAGAGCYGAAAGCAAACCTGGATGGTAGTCTTGAGGGGTATTGGTCCCCTGGATGGTGGTCATGGGGGATTGTTGGTCACCTGGTTGTGGTCATGGATGGTGGTCATGGGGATTGTTGGCCTCTGTTTTCTGCTTTTGTTTGCTTAATATTTTTCATAATAGAAAACAAAAAAAAATGTTCTCGCAGGATGTTTGCCAGCATGCCATAGACCGCAGCCAGTTTGCCTTTAGTTATTAAAATTGAGATGGTGGTGTGCAGGGAAGTAGCAGAAATTATCTTCCCAGCCTACTTCTTGAAGTAACAGAAGAACAGAATTAGGACCCTGGAGTGTCATTTATTGGCTGTGGACCTTTTTCTTCAGACTTGAGATGACCTTTGAAGACCCTGTGCTGAGGGGACAGGAGTGTGCATGGGATCTCAGATGGTGCTGGAGCCCGTCTGTTGGCAGAGATATCTCAGGCCACTGAGGTCCTCCATGGTCCCCCAGGTCTGCCCTCTCCCYGGATGGCCACAGTGGGAGTGTGGGCGCAGGCCGAGTGTGGGCAGCCAGGGCSCGGGATGCGGGCTTCCCCTCTGCGGGAGCCTCTGTTGGGTTTTCTCTCCTGTGCTCCTGACTCCCTTCCCGCTACGCCTCCTAGAGGGGTTTGTGAGACCGACACTGAACATCTTAGGCCTCCCCGATGGACGGTCTCCATTTCCTAGCACACGTCCAAGCCCCGTTCCCGTCGCCCCTTTGCCGCTGGTGCTCTGGCCTTGCTGGCCTCTGCTTTCGTTGCCCCGTGGACTCCACAGCACTCAGGAGAGGCTTCCTCCCTGTGGTCACCTGCAATGTCCAGGAACAGCTGCACCTGGGGCTGGCAGGGCCATGAGACGTCCTGACACTCTACCAGCACTGTATCTGGGACTTAATGTCACGTACCCTCGGGGCTAGATAGCTGGCTCCTTGGGGTCCTCTACATCAGAAGTCCTGGTTTTTAGTTCACCATGTGATGTGGCCTGTTGCTTTCGATATTCTTTTGATTCTCAGGTTGTTTGAGTTCCGTCTCTTGGAGGCCCTCTGAGGGGACTGCACTACTCTGCGCACTTCCCAGGATGCTCAGCTGTGCCCAGCCCAGGGCCCCTTTCACCTCACCCTACCATCCTCTTGCATGTTCTATTTTGGGGGTCTTAAGTGATGTCCTTGTATAATAGGATGTTTGTTCTCTCAGTAGATGTTTTTAAATCCTTCTAGAATACTGGATATTGTATACTCAGAAATGTTTACTTCATACAAAAGCCCTCATTTTTTTTTGGAAACACAATTAATTTGTAATTCTTGTCCTTTACCACAAGAAATTGTGGAAGTTTTGTTGTTACGTAAAAGCACAATTTAATATGAAAGTGAAATGTAGTTAATTCAACCAATTAACCACAGTCACTCTAAAGTACTCAGGGTTAGTTACAGAAACACCAACAACAAAGGCTGAATTCTGGATGACCATGTTTTCTTGTTTAACATTATCTAGATCAAATTGACTTTGGTCTCTTCATCTTTATTGTATTTTATCTACAGCTGATTTTTCTTCTTGCAATATTTATTATTTTTAGTGAATTTGGTCATTATTTGATTTGTTTATAGAACCTCGATGGCTTGTTCTGAAAAATCACTATATAAAAAAGCAGCATGGGGCTCAGGCTGAGGCTCAGTGGTAGAGCCCTTGCCTAGCATGTGTGAGGCACTGGGCTTGATTTTCAGCACCACATATAAATGAATAAAATAAAGGTCCATGGACAAGTAAAAAATATTTAAAAAGAATTAAAAACAGCAAATATTTATTCTACTTTTTCAAAATACTGGTTACTGTTACTAGATGTAGAATTACGTTCCATTCTTGTGTTGCTTCTAAACTTAAGAAAATTGTATTTGTGAGTCTGTTATACTTCAGGAGACATCAAGACCACAGAAGTGGCTGTTGTGCTAAGCCACTGTCCCCTGTCCTCTGTCTGCCCCTGCTGCAGGCACACCCTTTGGAAGCGAGTCCAAGGCATGGTCACCCCTCTGCTGGCCAGCATGGTCTCTTTCATCGACAGAGACGGCAACCTGGAGCTTCTGATCAGAGCACACTCCCCAGTCTGGGTCCAGGACCTGTGGATGTTTATTTTCCGTGACACTAAGTTCCTGAATATTCCGCTTGTGATGAATMACACAAGGTGAGGGGCAGTCCACGCAGCACCTCAGCTGCTCCAGTACTTGGGGAAGCGGAACATGGTTGGATCCAGCTCAGAGGCCAGGCGTCCTGGCAGCTTTGTCCTCTCTCCATGTTCCTTCTCTCAGGGCACCTGTCAGAGTGAGAAAGCCAGGTTCAACTCGTGTGCAGTGGGGACACTGCCCTTTTGAGAGAGCGTGTCCTTAAGTGCGCTCGTGTCCCCCTGTGCTCTTCCCAGTTCTGTCRAGCCTCCCCCAGATTCCTGTTCAGATTGCAAAGACTCCAGTTCTGGAATGTAGCCAGATAAGATGCAGGAGAGACACAGGTGCCAGCACCAGAAACCTGGTTCTGCTAGAGGCTTGGGCCCTTCCTGGGCCCTGCCCATGTGGCCTGCTTCCGTTCTGTCTGTAAACATGGGTTGTGAGGCAGTCTCCAATTCCTGTACAGCAGGGTCCCTGACTGGCTTTGTGTGGTCTGGGAAATGGAACCCAGGTCCTTGCACGTGCCAGGCAAGCACTCTACCATGGAGCCAACTCTGGCCCACGGTATTTATTTTTTATATATTTTTTATATTTATTTTTTAGTTGTAGATGGATACATTACGCTTATTTTATTTATTTATTTTTATGTGGTGCTGAGGATTGAACTCAGGGCCCTGCGTGTGCCAGGCGAGCACTGTACCGCTGAGCCACAACACTGGCCCCCCCACAGCACCTCTTGAGGACTGTGTCACACGTCCTCTGGTATTCAGAGCACCGTCTCAGGAACCAATTCTTGTTCACCTCACCCCCCTGCAGATCCAAGAGTGAGCTGTCCTCCATCGTGGTGCAGAACCATATGAGCCTTCCCGAGGGTGCTTGCAACAGTGTCCCCTTCAGCTGGAGAATCAGGGACTATCTGGACGAGCTCTGGGTCAAGGCCCAGTATATCACAGATACAAAAGGTGAGCCCTGCTTAAGTCGGGCCTGATTCAGCCCTGTCAAGCAGCCTGTTCCCAAGAGAGGCTGCCTGGCCATCATCGGGCTGACAGTGGCTAGCACCTGTAAATTCCAGGACTTTTAGTTTTCATACTTTGTGTGCGGAATAGGCTAAAGTTCATGTTTTTTTTTTTTTTTTTTTTTTTTCTTTTTGGAATTCTGCTGAAGCCTTTAAGTCCCACTGTGAAGGAGCCTTTAGGTGATGTGGTGGCTCTCTGGCTGGCAGTCTGGTGAACTGGAGCACGTACCAGCAGCTGCCGGAGCTTCCTACCTGCTGCGAGTTCACTGTCCAGTCCTGAGGCTCAGACCCGGTTCCCGTTTAAGCTTTTTCAACAGCTGCTGGCAACAAAGGGGGCGTGTCCTCCTTCTTCCCTCCTGAGTCACACGAGCTAGACGGCGTGCTCCGCTGTCACATTCTGGGGGTGAGGGTTGGCAATAGTCATTCCTGAAAAGCCAGTGCCAGTGCTTTTTTTGGAAATGACTTTTTTGAGAAGTCATGCTTCACATGTGAAGTCATCTTTTCAACATTTACTTGGAGAACCAGTCAGTACACTCCAAGTGAACTTGCTTTTCCKGTTCCATATTCTCCCGCTGTCCCCTGGAAGCAGTCTGTCTCCTGCTGAGAGGGTGTTTCTTTACTCGGGGCAGCACCCTGCCTGGTCCTGCTGGTCCCCGGAGTGTGCAGACTCCCCACCTGCTGGAGGCAAACCTCGGGTGGTGCAGGCTCTGACCCCAGCCCTGAAGAGCAGCCCACTCAGTCCTGATGCCCTGGGAACCCAGGACTCCTGGGGCCCATTGCACCTGACAGACGTGTAGCACAAAACTCAGGCTACCACAGATGTGCTTTCCTGTTGGGGTAGCGTGTCCTTCCTTTCCGGGTCCCCTCGTCTGTACATCTCCATTTTCTATTCCTATAAAGCAGCCAACAGGACCCTGTCTCCACGCTGCCCCAGGGGGCTGTACTAGCCTGTGGGTCCTTCTGGACAGCGAGCTTCTCTCAGCTTGTGGCTTTGCTTCTCTCAAGCCACTCTGGCTTCTTCCCTGCAGGACAATCAGAGAAGTTAGTGGAAATTTTCCAGCAGACTTCCCTGGGCATGTTTCTTGCCCAACTTCCTGAAGATCAGCAGCAAGAACTGGTTCAGTGCTACTCAAGGGACTTCCTGCTCTTGACCATGAGAGTGTCCAACCAAGAGGAGCTGGAGGTAGGTATCCATCCGTTCAAGGTCAAGCATAGAAATTGCATGAATGGACTAGGGACAAACAGGAACTCGGCTTCCAAGGGCTGGTGCCAGGCTGAGAATGTACCCTGAGCTGCTCAGACCACAAGGCCAGTCCTCGCCACTCCCCAATACCTCCTGGAAGGGATATTCTAGCACCTTGAGAAGCTTTCCAGTTTTCCTGGAGCACCTCTTTAAATTGTTGAGTTTMTGTTGACAAAATTAATGTAACTGACCTCCTAAGATGAGTATAATAAGTGAAATTCAGTGGAATGATTGATACTTTTCTGTTTCTGGAGAAAATCCACCCGGCTGCCTGGTAGCCACACTCAGAATGGTGAAAGGAGGTGGCAGGTGTGGGAGAACATACTGCAGCCAGTGCCACGGAAGGTCAGCAGGGTTTTCTTGGGAATCAGCAGAATATATCCTGATTTTTAAAAACAGGTAGAAGCTACAAGTCAGCTACACAGAGTGTAATCGTGTGGGGGTCTGGAAAGCTTTGCTCACCTGCTCAGCCCCCACCCACCTAGGTCAAGAGAGCATAGACAGTTTTCAGATGCCACTTGTACCTGCCCATTTGGCAAAACCAAGTTTTCAAAAGGAATGGTGGAACTGCGAGGCCTCCTGGGCAGGTGCTGAGCAGCAATTATGTGGCAGGTGGTCACAGCACCTCGTCCCCAGCTGCAGGCCATCCTGCTAGAGCCAGCAGAGCCTGGGTAGGTGTCCCAGAAAGGCTCTTCCAGCTTTGTTTCTGATCATGAAGAATTAGAAATGAATTAAGTGTCCAAATAAACAATGGAGGGACAAACTAAAGTATGGCCACTTTAAAATGGTCGTTTTGCAACCATTGAAAACGATGTGTTCCACAAGTAACGAGTGATAGAGTAATTCTCCTAGTCTAATCTTGAGTGGAAAAATCCTCAGATCCCGATCTGTGGATGATTCTAAGGCGTAGCTAGGAAAATGGCCAGAGGCTCTACTGAAAAGCAGTCGGGAGATGTGAAGTCTGGTTTCTAATTTTTTCTTTTCCGTGGTTTTTTGAACAGTTCTGATTTCCCACAGGAAAACATCTCTTTATAATTTAAAAATGCATACTAAAACCCTTCGAAACCCCAGTTTCTGCAGATGGCCCTGTGGTCCTGCATCTGTGAGCTGCGAGCAGCCTCAGGGAGGCCGGAGGACAGGCTCTGCTTGCCATGGGTGCACCTGGCCTATCAGCATTTCAGGACGCGCCTGCACAACTTCTCCAGAATCGTGACCACCCACCCGCAGGTTCTGCAGAGCCTCACTGAAGCGGCACAGAAGCATGACATCGTTGGCAGTGAAATGGTAGGACGGCCCTGTGGGAGGCCCAGGCCCTGGCCCATCCCCAGGAGCAAGGGAGACCCTTCAGGGGCATGGGAGCCACAGGCAAAGAAGAGGGTGGGTGGAGGGCGGGGATCCCACAGGGTCACACGAGCGCTGTCCTCTTCCCAGACACTGGATGTGTTGGCCGCCGTGGCCTGTGCTGAAATGCTGACGGGAGACACCCTGAAGCCGAGTGCCCAGGCCTGGCTGCAGCTGGTGAGGAAGCTGGCCATGCCGTTGGAGCTCGTGTGCTCCGACGGGTACTTACAAGGCAGTGGGAGCGTGGCCAGAGCTGTCRCTGCGGAGCTGAGGTGAGACCTGGGGCCCGCCTGTCCCTGGCCCGCTGGGCCTGTGCTCACTCATGGACTCCAGGTCGAGACGCACTTAGCAGCAGGGCGGGCACATGCTTCTGACACAGGGGGGCTCTGTGCACTCACTGTGCCTTGACGAAGCCTGTCGACAGGTGCTGGAGACAGGAGAGCCACATGCAGATAGGCCGTGGTGCCCCGGGGCCCAAAAAGACTGGCAGGTTGCTAAGCTRCACCTTGAGAACTACAGTGGTGGCAGGCAGCCAATGGAAGGACATGGCGGGCAGGGCAAGCAGAGGGGCAGGCCTTCAGGGTTGAGGGCATCTCAACCTGTGCTGGACCGTGAGTGTCAAGAGGGACTCCCTGTGCCCGGGACTGAGAGCCGGCCCAGTGGCAGTGTGTGCTGAGGTAGCACAGGGAGACCCCAAGACCTGCTTGCTAGGAGCACTGCTGAGGGCAGGGCTGGGGGTAACCCCTCCAGTCAGCTCACCTTCCTGCGCCGCCTGGAGCCTGCCCTCTCCTCCTCTTGTCTCAGAGTCCTCTGTCAGAGCTGAGTGTGACACCCTCTTTTACAGGACCCAGTGGAATCGGGTTTTTCCCCTTGCACTCTTTGTGGAGCACGTGCTCCTGGGGACTGAGAGCCAGATTCCTGAGCTGTGCCAGCTGGTGACCAAGTACGTCTTCTCACTGGACAAGGTGAGCACTGGGCACATCTCTTGGTGGGATGCAGGTCAGTGCTGGGCTCTCACCTAGCAGCATAGGGAATGCACGTATTTTGTCTGGAACTTGCTTGTGGAACTTGCTTGTGGGTGCTTTGCAAGGGCTAAAGGGGTGGGCTCCACCGACCTCCAGGATGACCTTGGARCAATCAGTGGGACTATGGGAACAGAAGACCACTGAGCCTCTGCTTCCAGTACCAGAGAAAGCCACCATCTCTGTGGCCAGGCTGTCTAGCAACAACGGCCACTCAGCACAACATGACTTTGGTCCTGTGACTGTCTCATGAGTACCCCCTGTGGGTAGAAGGCCATTGGCCTCCTTAGTACCCTCTGTCAGGGTGTCTGTGAAAGGCCACTGCAGACAGGTGTGCAGCCTTTGAATGCAGGCAAATGCTCTAAGAGGAGATTGGCTGAGGTGCCAAGTGCCAGCGCACCCCGACTTTTCCAGAATGTCCGAGGCCCTGTGCAGGATGRTCTGTGCAGGCCAGGGCTTGCTCACTCCCAGGGTCAGGTGCCCACACTGCTTCTTGCTTGCCCCTCTGTCCTCCTCAACAACCACCTTCCAGCTGCTGGTCTTCGAAGGCTGTTCCTGCTGTAGAGCCTGTGGCCGTCCGGGCTGGGACCCAGGGCCTCACACATGTGGGCTGGCACTGGCCCCTGAGCTGCACCCAGGACCCATGCACGCTCCAGCTCATGTTTCATCGCCCTGAACTAAGTTCCTGGTCTAGCTGGAAAGCACAGGAGACCTTTCACAGAGTGTGCTAATGGACCATGGAACTTGAGAGGTTTTTGTTTTTGTTTTTGCGTTTTTTGAAACAGGAAAAAGACATTTTATTGCTTTGCAATAAATAGCAAAGGAGAAACACAGCGACTTGTGTCCCAGAAGCTGTGACTCCCCAGATCAGGGGGAACAGAGGCCCCCCCCTATTTTTTGTTGCTGTCATTCTTTGTAGTTGTATGTCACAGTAGAGTGCATTCTGACCTATCAGACATATATGGTTGAACACGATGTGGAGTTACACTGGCCGTGTACTCACATACAAACGTAGGAAAGTGGTGTCCGATTCATTCTACTGTCTTTCCTATTCCTATTCCCCTCCCTTCCACCTGTTCCATCTCATCTGGTGAACTTCCACTACCCCACCCCCACCCTGCCCACCTATTGTGAGTCAGCATCAGCATATCAGAGAAAACATTCAGCCTTTGGTTTGGGGGATTGATTGATTTCACTTAGCATGATAGGCTCCATTTCCATCCATTTACTCGCAAATGCCTTAATTTCATTCTTTATGAGTAATATTCCATAATGTATATCTACCCATTTTCTTAATCCATTCATCTTCTGAAGAGCACTKACATTGGTTCCATAGTTTAGCTATTGTGAATTGAGCTGTTATAAACATTGATGTGGCTGTGTCACTGTAGTATGCTGATTTTAAGTCCTTTGGGTATATGCTGAGGCATGGGATAACTGGGTAAAATGGTGATTCCATTCCAAGTTTTCTGTTTTCTAGAGCAGTTGCACCAATGTGCAGTCCCACCAGCAATGTCTGAGTGTGCCTTTTTCCCCATATCCTCACCCACATTTTTTTTAATATTATTTTATTAGTTRTAGATGGAYATGATTCCTTTATTTAATTTATTTATTTTTATGTGGTGCTGAGGATGGAACCCAGTGCTTCACACATGCGAGGCAAGCGCTCTACCGCTAAGCCACAACCCCAGTCCTCACCCACATTTTTTATTACYTATATTATTGATAATTGCCATTCTGACTGGAGTGATATGGGACCAGAGGGTTTTTAAAGAGCCATTCAAAGGAATCCTGTTTTCCCTAAGATGAGGGAGGAGAGAAAAATAAGCCTGCTTTAGAGCATCAAGGGCTGTATCCAAAGCAGGAAGAGGACCACTGTCTGGTATTTATGTGTCTTTGAAGAATGTCTAAGTCCTTTGCCTGCTGCTGAGTTGGGTTGTTACTTAACAAATCAAGTTTATCAGGATAAAACACACATCRTTTTCAAGTATGATCAATCCTGGGAATTCAAGGATGGCTCAAAAAAAATCTATAAATGTCATCAGTGATATAAGCTAAAAAGTTACCTCTAAATGATAACTTCAAAAGCTAGACAGAATATTTGACATGATTTATGAATTAAAAAAATACCCTATGCAAAGTCCAAATAGGAACTGCCCTTTAAGAAACTTCCTGTAGGAATGTCTATACCAACATCCTGCCTGAGCACAAACTCAGAAACAGTGGTTGAATCATGAGATCACTGCCCTGCACTGCTGGAGATGTGCATTTCTAACTGTGTCCTAGAGACACTTTGATTTATTTCGTGGTGCTAGGGTGGAACCCAGGGCCGCGTGCATGCCAGGAAAGTGCTCCCCAGCCCAACTACCTGTGTTTACGGAAGCAGATGCACCCTAGACTGTTAGTGTAGCACTCACGGTTCAGAGTCCAGAAGCCCCAGCACACACTGAATGCCCATGACAGGAATCTGGAAGAGTCGTGGGGCGGCCATACAGTAGTTAACACCCGTCAGCTGCAGCTGAGCAGCCGACCAGGAAGTCGCAGAAGCACCCTGCAGTGGGGCCTCCCAGGCCTCTGGGCCTAAAGGAGAACATGCAGGACAGTGGCAGGGTGATGACACAGGTGCCTGCGCCCTCAGAGGAAAAGCTTAGGCGTGTGGTTACCCGGGAGTGGAGGGGACTTGACCAGAAGGGCGGCCGTGCAGCCACACTGGGTCTCCATGTGACGTTCCTTTAAAACATGCTCTAGCCAGGGGTGGCGGTACACAGCTGTAGTCCCCGCTTGAGGCCAGGAGTTTGAGAGCAGCTTGGAAAACACAGCCAGACCCCGTCTCTAAATCAATCACCCATTCAACCAATCAAGGTCTACGTAAATATTCAAAAAATGCCCAGGTCTCTTAAAGCTTAATGGTGTGTCTGCAAGGCCATGACGTTATTATTTAATGTTTGAAAACACCAGATGAGGGAAGGGGGTAGACCCGAAAGGAGGAGCGGAGAAGAGACCTGGTAATTTAGTCCTTGTTTTTAAAAAGCAGCAGGCCACAAAGAGTTGACAGCCTGGGACATTCAAAGAATCCCTGAGGCCTTGGGCTGCCCCAGGGCACAGCTGACTTGGGGGACCCCTGCTCCCCCTCGCTGGGTGCCACCTCTCACCAGGACTTTCTTCTCCAGTGTCTTCAAGAGAACTCCAACCTCAAGACCCAGAGGCCTTTTATGGCTGTGATGACCACACTCTGTGAGTGCAAGGAGCAAGCCAGCAAGAGCCTGGCCAGGTGAGAGGGTCTGGGCTCCAGSGGGGAGGGAGCGCTGCCCCTCGGGGGCCCTGGGGGGGCCTGGTGCTCCAGGCCAGCGTCTGCCTGGCCCATCGCCTGGTTGGATTCCAGGTTTGGAATGCAGCCGTGCCCCATCTGCCTGGGAGATGCTCAGGACCCTGTGTGTCTGCCCTGTGACCATGTGTACTGCCTGCCCTGCATCAAGAGCTGGCTCGTCCCCGGGCAGATGATTTGCCCCTTCTGTTTAACCGACCTGCCTGACAAGTTCTCTGTGACAGTTTCCCAAGAGCACAGGTAAAACACTCAATCTCTTTAAAAGTCTTCCTCTTTTCTGTATCCTTTTTTTCAAATAATATTCAGAACTTCAATTTTTCTTCCATCTGGCTTTGGAGAGCTGTCTAAAGTGAGGCTCTCACTTGGGCACTTCTTAGACATTGGGTGCCTCAGAATTCCTGTCTCTCCAAGATATCACATGTCCGGCAAGATTTTGAGACAGCAAAATTCAGACAATATGAAATGAAGCCCGTGAGAGAGACCAGCTTCTCTGTCCTCCTTTTTGCGTGGGTGGCGGGTGCCCTGTGGAGCCCAGGCCTGGTGTGTGCTTGGCAAGCAAGCCCTCTACCACAAAGCCACACCCCCGCTCTGCCCAGCCTCTGGGGGTRGGGAAGAGAGCCATAGCGCTGTGCGCTTCAGACCGTGGTCCTGCTCCGCCAGTGGTGGTTTTCCATCTTTCCTCCCAACCGAGGGGTTCTGTGACATGCTTGGGCTGGTTCAATGGTGGAGCTATTCTTGGAGGAGATATGTGTAGATGCTGTCTGCAGTTGCAAAGACCAGCTGATCAAAGGCAGTGGACACTTGAATCTGATGGTGTAAAATGAGATGTTGTCTGAATCTCAAGTCATTCTGCATGCAGGGATTTGGGAACACGGTCTCTGAGTCTTCTGACTGGGTTTTCGCTGTTTCCTTAGGGTGGCCATTGGGAAACACGCCCAGTTCCGGCAGATGTGCAACAGTTTCTTCATGGACCTGATTTCTACCATGTGCTTCAAAGACAATAACCCTCCTGAGAAGAACGTGATTGATGGGCTTCTGTCTCTACTCTTCGTGCAGAAGGAGCTCTTGAGAGATGCTCCCCAACGTGAGTTGCTTTCTTCCTTCAAACCTAGATTCAGTTCCTCTCCATTTGGTGCCATGATATGAGCAAAAGCATCTTTTTCGTTCTGGCTAAGGACACCGGGAACACACCAAGTCTCTCTCGCCATTTGACGATGCCGTGGATAAGACTCCCGTCATTCGCTCCGTGGTGCTGAAGCTGCTCCTGAAGTACAGGTGGGAGCGGCTCCCCGAGTGCGCGCTTCTCCAGGGCCTTGGCTTCTCTGGGTGCGCCATGCTTGGTCTTCGTGCTGCCACATGTCCTAGCTCATGGTTGTGTATAGACACTGTCCCCGGGGGGCATATGATTTGGCCCTGGCCGAGGGCGTGTAGGTAGCAAGAAGACAGAATGCTGGGGAGGGATCCTCGGCGTGGTAAAGCATGCAGAACCCTGCATCCAGAGGGTTTCTGACCCTAGCTCCACAGCCCACCCCAGAGTATGATTTGTGGGGGAGTAACTCAGAACCTCCTTCACCCTTGGCTTCCTCCAAGTCCAGTTCCACGGCGCATGGACTCTGTGTTTTCTTGGTTAGATGGGCAGTCCGTGTTGTCCAAACATGGTGTCTGTCCTGTTGTCCAAGCTGACTGATCCTATGTGTTCATCAGGCTTCAGTTCTCAGAGTGATGGTGGGACTCTTTGGTGGGGAAGGGGTCCCTGAGCTGAATTTTTAAAAATAATACTAAGTGGGGCTGGGGTTGTAGGTCGGTGGTGGAGTGCTTATCTAGCATGTGTGAGGCACTGGGTTTGCTCCTCAGCACTGTATAAAAATTAACAAATAAAGTAAAGGCATGGTGTCCATCTACAATTTAAAAATATATTTTAAAAAAGTGAGACAGTAATTTGCCTTTTCAACATGTGGCTATTTGTGATGCCATTGCCAAAGCAGTGATGGGTGAATTGTGGGCCTCTCTGCATGAAGGAAATTATAACCAGAGTCATGGTTTACTTCTCCACTGTGAACATGTAATGTTTTTAAAAATATKTATTTAGTTGTAGATGGRSACACAGTATCTTTATTTGTTTTTATGTGGTGCTGAGGATTGAACCCAGTGCCTCACACATGGGAGGAAAGCACTTTACCACTGAGCTACAGCCTAAGCCCCTGAACATGTAATTTTTTAAATCCCAGTTTCACTTATGGGAGTCACTAAATCTTGACCATTAAGTTTGCAATTTTTAATGTTGTGTAGCAGCAGGAAATGGACCAGAAACACTCCAGCTGCATAGCAGAGGAGAGTGGTTATCTCAAAGAATGCCACTCCTAAAGGTCTCCGGTTTAGAGTGGCTGCTACCCTCAGGCCTTGCCATTTTGCTTAAACCAATGACTACCAGACCACACATCTGTAGTGAGGTTAATGAATATAGGTCGCAGAAAAAAGATGCCAACTCTCATGATCTGCCTTGCTCAGCAAACCAAGGCTTTTCCAAATGACCAATGCCTMATGTCACAGAATCATGTGTGTCAAAATGATCCAGCAGCTAGGCATGCAGCTCAGTCGTACAGCTTTGACTAGCCCGCAGGGAGGCCCTGGGAACAATCCACAGCAGAGTGGACTGTGTGGGTGTCGCGTAATTGAAAGTGAAAACAGAAATGGTGTGGTCTCAGGCCCCACAACCAGCTTTGAGAAATGATCACTTTTCAGGGGTTGGTACAGTATCGAAAAAGAATAGCCCCAAATATATGCAAGGACTGTTAAACATTTTCTCCTTTTCCAACTACGTCGTCTGTAAGGCCAGATTTTCTTCATATGCCTCAATGTAGCATCAGAAGCAGGTGATGGAAGTCAGCTGACTTCTGTTAAACTAGGCTTCCAAGAACATGAGGGTTTATTCTTTTTGTCTTACATGAATTAATAAATACTCTTGAAACTTCAGTTTTAATTTTTAGTACCATAAACATTGAAAGATTTGACCTAAATAAACAAAAAATTGTCTGCAGTTCTCAATGAGTTTTAAGAACAGCTGGTCTGCAATATGGAATTCCATATTCCTCCGAGACTCTGACAACATTTTTAATAAAAAGCTGTTAAATCTATATACTTCCATATGTATGTATTATACCTTTATACACACAGGGAAAAATAGATGGGCAGATGATTGGTTAGTAGATGTTCTTTTGTKTAGGGTGATTCTGCCATCCTGATATAACCAGAAATAATATTGCTCTTTCCACAGCTTCGATGCAGTGAAAGATTACATCCAGGCCTACTTGTCCCTATTAGAGAAGAAGGCATTCATCATTAAAGATAAGACTGAACCCTACATGCTCTTCATCAACTGCCTGGAGGTAAGCCGGCGGCCGCTGCTTCGTCGCTCTGCTTCTGCAAACTGTCTGAACCATGTGGTCTACTCAGTGGCAGAGTTTCTGAAAACTGACAGGATGTAGCTTTACTCAGTGTGATTAACAGATATTTCTTTCCCACGTGGAAAAAGAAAAAAGTTTCAAAGACATTGCTCTGTCCTTAGTGTCACACACAYGTCAGGAGCTGTTTGGTGACATTTCTGTCACTGTCATACACCACTCTGGTGGTATGTGAGATCTCCACCTAGCCTGTAAAGCTGTCCAACGTTTGCACGGCGGTGAAATCCCCTAAGGATGCGTTTCTTGAAGGTGTCCTGTTGTTAAGCAGTATGTAACTATTGACAGTCGTGCACACGTTTGTGTAAAGCGGAAGGAACCRCAGCCTAGATGACTGTGCCTCACGGTTAGCCAGGGTTGTCCCCAGCTGGTGAGATCATGAATCCTTTTTATTTCTATTTTCTTCATATTTTTATTCCTTCATATGCCTCAATGTGGCATCAGAAGCAGATGAAGGAAGTCAGCTGACTTCTGTTAAACTAGGCTTCTGAGAATTACAGGAATATAAAACAAAGCCACTCTTCTAAACATCATTAACACATGTGGGTTTATTCTTTTTATCTTAAATTGTACATTTTTTTCCCTTTACAGGTTTGCTTTTTCCAATTGTTTTCTATGATCCAAAAAATTTATACTCCGCTCTACAATGGCGGTCTTTATCTTCCCTTTAATTCTCCCAGCAATTTCAGAAGGTCAGAGACTTGCCTATTAAAAAGCATAATATTCTTTTCTTTCTTGTTCTTTGTTCCTCAGGATTCAATCCAGGAGAAGACCAGCGCTGACTGCACACAGAGTGAACTCCAGGGCCTGAGGGAGGAAGGCCGTTTCCTCCTGACCTGCTCCTCGGGGAGACGAGGCCAAGGACCTGCCACTGCGGCGTCTGTTGAGTACCTGCAGGAGGTGGCCAGGACCCGCCTGTGTCTTGACAGGGCTTCTGACCTCCTCTTGGAGCTTCAGGAGGGCTCAGGCAGGTCTTCCCTACCTGGGAGAAGTTGGCTCTGCCTAGAGAAGTTGGACAGTTCCTTAGGGTCTTGCTGACCCTTACCATGTTCCCCTCTCCTGGGTGTGTTTTACTGAGTTCCCTAGAAGCAGGGCCTCAGTCCCCAGTCCCTGACCAGTTTTGTCCTTGCATTCTCAGAGCTGGCTGAGGAACAGCAGGGCTACCTGCGGCACGTCGAGCAGTTCTGCACCCGAGCGGGGAACGACTGGTACYGCGTGTACCTGGTCCGGAGGCTCGCGAGCCTGCGTGGGATGGAGTTTGTGCAGAGCCTCTCCAGGCAGGGCCGTCAGTGCCAGTGGGTGTTTCCCAAGGGAGTCATTGCACAGCAGGTGAGGGCAGGACCCTGGCAGCGCGGGCAAGCTTCGGGCACCACTCCCCACCCTGCCCCACCTCCCAGTCCTCACGACAGGAGGGCACTGGCAGGCATCTATCTGGTCCTTGGTCCCTGCTTCAAGGTGGGTTTAGGCCATGTACTGGAGAGCAAAGATAGGCGTGGACACGTGTGGGTGCTCATTCACCTGCAGCTTACCCAGGCTTCACTTCTAATTGAATTAGACGAGAGAAAGTGAATGAGTATTTTTTAATATTTGCTTCCAGCAAATTATAAGGAGATTCAGCTTTGAGGCGGTGTCTTGTGCTCTCTGCCAGGCAGAGGCCGGTGAGAATTGAGAGACAATTGCCATGGGTTTGACTTTCAGGCTTCTCAGCTCCTAGTGCTCAGAAATTGGTAAATTCTTACTGTCCTGGGGGTCCCAAAATGGCACTGAAACTCCAGACATTTGTTGTTGTTGTAGTTGTAGATGGACAGAATGTCTTTATTATTTTTTTTGTTAATTTTTAATTTAATTAATTTGTTTAATTTTTTTAATTTGTTTAATTTTTATGTGGTGCTGAGGATCAAACCCAGTGCCTCACGCATGCTAGGCAAGCACTTTGCCACTGAGCTGCAGCCCCAGTCCTCTAGGCATTTTTAGCATGACCACGTGGGACTCAGGATGACATGTTTTTGTCACCTCACTTGGTATGGTGCTATATATACAGAAAGCAAGCAGTTCCAAGGTTAGCCTCCCTCCTTCCCGGGCTCTCCGTCCCTGTGAAGGCTGTGCTCCTGAAGACCCCAGGAGTGTCCTGYGCAGGCCCCACAGGGCGACCCAGCTCAGCTGCCTCTAGCCTCCAGTGGTGCCTCGTGCCTTGGGTTGCCTGTGGAGAAGGGTTCTTACAGAACATCCCACCCCATTCCACTGTGACTAACCCCCTGCTCTTGGGCTGCAGAAGGACCACAYGGGCCAGATGGACCGATACCTGGTGCATGGGGATGAATACAAGGCACTTCGTGACGCCGTGGGCAAAGCCATGCTCAAGGGCAAGGCCCCCAGCCTYGAGGCTGCTCTGAAGGTAGGATGGCATGCAGCTTCCCTTGCTGCCAGGGGACCCTTGTGCCCCATCTTCTCTGGTTATGTTCAAGGATGCAGGTGGAGAGGATGGGGAGGGCCTCCGAACAGCCCCTAGAATCACACTGCATGCYAGGAGGCATATGCCCATGGCCTGCATGGTGCAGTGGCCAGCATGGGGGAACTAATGGCTGGAACAGTAGTGCAGCAGCAACTGAGCTGGGCTCATACATTTGCTGCACCTGCCAAGGCCATCAGCCACTTCCTTTTTATTTGTTTATGTGCATTATCTCTTTAAGACCTTGCTGAGGGGCTGGGGATGTGGCTCAAGCGGTAGCGCGCTCGCCTGGCACGCGTGCGGCCCGGGTTCGATCCCCAGCACCACATACCAACAAAGATGTTGTGTCCACCGAGAACTAAAAAATAAATATTAAAGAAAAAAAAAAGAATTATTTAAAAAAAAAAAGACCTTGCTGAGAAATAATTTTCTACAGGATTATTGTGAAAGATGTCAGCACTATTAGCCAAATCCATAGCCATGTAGATTCACAATCCATGTGTATGCTTATGTGTCTATTCTGGTATTAATACAGGGTTTTAGGATTCTGGTCTTTTTCTTAGTATTTTTAGTTGTAGATGGACACAATACCTGTATTTTTAAATTTATTTTTTTATGTGGTGCTCACATTAAAAAAAAAAGAGCACGGCATAAGTGCTCTCCACCAAGCCCCAGGATTGTCACCTTTAACTTATTCGGGTCTTGCTTCCTTTTGAGTCACTCTTTATCCTGGCCTTGTGCTGGGAAGAGAAAATAGAAAATGCTGTCTCTTCTCAGGAAACATTGCTAAGATCAGTGAGGTAGCTGGAGGAGAACAGGTGCCGACGAGGCTGCCTGATTAACCTGAGCCTGCCTCATGGACGCACAGTCCCAGGCGTGTGTGTGGAGGCCCTGGTGCATGGCCTTGGGAAGGCTGCTCTAGGTAGTCCTGTGGAGCTTCTGAATGCTCGCTCCACATCCTGCCCACAGGTCTGCAGGAGCCCTGGAGCTCGACAGGTGGTCTTCCTGCTGCTGGTGCTATACCGAGAAGTGGCTGCTCTCCACTGCTCCCACAACAAGGACCTCCACCCTAAGCCAGAGGTGAGTGACATGCTGGAGCTTGCACTTAGTCTCATGATTGGGAGGGACTTTCTGAGCACAGTAAAAGTCACAACTTTGATTTGCATCTAGGATAATAGGAAGTATGACCTTCCGAAACTTCCTTTATAGGACAAAGGGTGTACCCTTGTTATGTGGAAGAACTATTTTTTGTTTAACCCAAAGTTTATAGACTCAGGAACATTACATAATGTTTACCAAAACAGAGTATTGAAATCTGTACTCAAGAATGTGGTTATTGTGTTTCTATATGAACATTCTCTTTTTTGTTCTTGTTTAATTTTTATTAGTTATTAATGGACCTTTATTCATTTATTTGTTTTATATATGGTGCTGAGAATTAAACCCAGTACTTCACACTTGCTAGGCAAGCACGCTACCACTGAGCCACAACCCCAGCCTTGAACTTTCTCTTTCCTGATTAATTTACCCTCCTTTGGTGATCATTTAACTATATTTACCTTGATATTTGATAAGTACTCAATATTGAAATGTGTGACTTTCAAAGAGAAAACCCTGAATTCACGCAGCGCTCTTCTTTGACATACCCTAATGTGAAAAACGTCTTTCGAGCCAGCAGTGCAAGGCTGTGAGCCGGTTCATTGAAGACAGCAGGGTCCTGTCTCCTCCGGGGGTCAGGCCTTTCGCAGCATCCCTCGTGGACCACACTCTGCCCTTGCTGAGCACGGGCCCTGGTGTCGAGAGCCTTGAAGGAACAGTGACAGAAATGGCTGTTCATGCTGCAGCTGTCCTTCTGTGTGGACAGAGCGAAGTCTTGGCGCCTTTGAGGAACTTGGCCTTCTCCCCGGCCAGCATGGCGGTAAGCAGCCCTGTGAAACTTCARTGGTTTGTCATGTTGGGAGATCCAGCCAACATGACAACATGAGATGTGGCCATGGGAACCGTCAAACCTATCCATCTTCTAGATTCTCTGCACTGTTGCCCCACTTGGTTCTTCAGCACAGTGCTGGTGCCGTGGCTGTCATTTCACATGAAGTTGCTGTACGTTCTCTGTAAACAGCTCTTGAGCTGAGTAGAAACTTCCTCACTGTGTGCCTCTTCCTGGTTAGCAGCCACAGCCAACAGGCCCGCTTAGGAGGGCAATTTCTGCTCTTGGTCTTTCAGAATGCTTTTCTCCCAACGATGCCTGAAGACCTGCTAGCTCAAGCCCAGAAGTGGAGGGGTCTGGAAGGTGTCCGCTGGTACAGTGAGTACTGGTGTCTGAAGGGGTCAYACTTTGCAGCTTGTAAGAGCATCCTTTGATCACGCCAGACCTGGGGTTGGTCCTGGGCTTCATAGGGTTCTGCTGAAGGCCCAAGTCACCTGCCTCCTCCTGCCTTTGGCAATTGGCAGAGCCATGTGGCTTGAGAGCCACATAGTTTGCTGGCTAGATGACGACGTTTTCCTGCATAGTCATGGGACAAAACCTTTGGGCTGCATTGTTGCTCTCCAGAAAATGTCATTTGGGAGAATGGAGACCTGGGGACCATTCTGAGGCTCATTCAAAAGCAGTCATAATCCAGGTTTTTTTTTTTTTTTTAAGAGAGAGAGAGAGAATTTTTTAATATTTATTTTTTAGTTTTCGGCGGACACAACATCTTTGTTTGTACGTGGTGCTGGGAATTGAACCCGGGCCACACGCATGCCAGGCGAGCGCGCTACCGCTTGAGCCACATCTCCAGCCCCTAGTTTTTTTTTTTTTAATATTTATTTATTTTTTTAGTTCTCGGCGGACACAACATCTTTGTATGTGGTGCTGGAGATCGCACCCGGGCCGCACGCATGCCAGGCGAGCGCACTACCGCTTGAGCCACATCCCCAGCCCCAATAACTAGTTTTTAAAATTGTTATAAAACATGGTTTTGCCAAAAAAAAAAAAAACATCCAAGGGAATAGAAAGTTACAAAACACTGTCCCCTCTGCCACCAGGTGGCCCTGGTGTGTGAATCTCACCTCTCTGCTGTGTAAAGCCAAGGTCAGACACTTTTCACTGGTGGCACGTATTCAGTTAACTCCAGGAACATGTCTAGTAACTTAGCTGACGGCATGGCTCAAGGATTCTGGTGAGGAGCTCAGGACGTAGGCTGTGGGTCCTTTTGGTCAGGGACAGAGAGGAGGGCAGCAATTTCCCCTTCCCACATAGGTCATTTGGTGGAGGCTCACTAGTTAACATGTGTCCTGTTGTTCTTTGAACAGGTTGTCCCAACGGTCATCCATGCTCTGTCGGAGAGGTGAGTCTTGGTATTTGGGGGAGGCTCAAAATGTGCATTCTCATCCGAAGTGGAAGGGTGCAGAGAATAAGTGTCGTGACCTTCTGGGAGATACAGGCTCATTCTGGGGGCTGCTCATGGTGTTCCAACTGAGCATCTAAATGGCACTGTGGACATTATTCTTTACTGCAGGTCTTTATTGGATTGTAGGATATTTAGCAGCATGCCTGACCTTGGCTCACTGGGTACCAGGAGCAGCACTTCCTGGACCAGTGAATCTACAGGCACTGCCCAAGTCCCTGGGATACCATGGTGCTGCTGGCTGGGAGCCCCACTCCCTCCCTGGCCCTGCCACACAGACCTTCTGCTGGATCACTAGCCAGAAAGGAAGTGTGGGCTAGACACCAGAGGACAGGAAAGATTCAGGGGCCTGAGTGGTGAGCCCTGGGGGAAGAGTGGATGCTGCTCTTCCAGGACTCTAGGGCGTCTCCGGGCTGCTCATGGCATCTGCGCCTGCTGAGCAACAGGCTGCTGGACTGGATTCAAGTGTGCTGCTCCATAAAGTGAACAGGAGACACTGCACCCTCCGGAACCTACTCACTTCCTTGTTGTGAAGTGAGATAGGAACGGGTTCCAGGACCTCTCTGTTCTGAGAGCCTGCAGCGAAGGGTCTGCTGTGGTTGTGGTTCACATGTGGCAGGGCACCCTGTGACTTGGAAACATGGGCTCTTGGTAGAGGCAGATCTTTTTTTTTTTTTAAGAGAAAGAGAGGAATTTTTTTTGCTTAATATTTATTTTTTATAAAAACATCTTTATTTTATTCTTATGTGGTGCTGAGGATYGAACCTGGTTGTGCTGGGGAGTCACCTCAAGCACACCTGGCATGCGCGGGGCCAGGCGAGCGCGCTACCACTTGAGCCATGTCCCCAGCCCCGGTAGGGGCAGATCTTGTGGTTAGGTGTTTGGGTTCTTTCCAGTGGATGAGGAGGTCTGTCCAGTTAGATAGGAAAGCTCTGGAGGCTGGTGTGCAAGATGTAGGGAGAGAGAGGTGGTGAGTGTGAGGATGGGAGACTGGGTTGTGCACTCTTGTCACTCTACTTGGGARGAAAAACTGTCATGCTGGTTATTTTTAAATAAAGCTACCTTTGCCGCTGGATAGCACACTTGGTTAAGTGCCCGCCCTGTCGCCAGGCTCCTGTTCCTCCTTGACACACATACGCACAGATGTAGYCCCAGCAGCACAGGCCACCTCCTGTACAGGGTGGCTCCTATGCATGCCATGACGCTCACTGTGGGTCCCCTCTCTGTCCCAGTGTGGCATGCCGATGGAGCAGGGCTCCTGTGTTGACTGCGGTGCTCTCATCGGAGGTATCGACCACAAACCTCACACCGGCTTCCTGAGCATCAGGTATGTGGGCTCAGCTTCCCTCCCTCAGAGGCTGGGGCTCTGGGCTGTCCACTGCTGCACATCTGCGCCCTGGTTGTGCTGGGGAGTCACATCAAGCACACCTGCAGTCACTTTTGGTTTTGGGCTTTTTTGTTTTGTTTTGTTTTCAGTGCTAGGGACGGGACCTGCGGCCTCATGTGCCAGGCAAGTGCTCTAAAACTGAGCTACTCCCCAGCCCTGTTTTTCTTTTTTTTAATTTGAGAAAAGTAAAAGACACATGTAATCAGTCTTATCAAGTACATCCATCCCTCCATATCTGCAGGGACTGTTCCCAGGACACTGCCCTCCACATCCACTCAGTTCCAGGTGATCAGATCCTTTGTATGTCGTGGCACAGTACTTGTATGTGACCTACAAATATCGTCCCGTAGACTTTTTTCTTTTTTGGTACACAGGTCTTAACCACTGAGCCACATCCCCAGCCTTATATATATATATTTTTTTTTAAATTTATTTTTTAGTTATACGTGGTCACAATATCTTTATTTAATTTTTATGTGGTACTGGGAATCGAATCCACCCTCACACATGGTAGGCGAGTGCTTTACCTCTGAGCCACAGCCCCAGTCCCTTTTTTATATTTTATTTAGAGACAGGRTCTCACTAAGTTGCTTAGGGCCTTGCTAAGTTGCTGAGGCTGGGTTTGAACTGTGATCCTCCAAAGATGCTGGAATTACACGTTTGCACCACTGTGCCCGGCTTACTATAGACTTCTAAAATATTATCTCTAGGTTACTTATTATACCTCAAGCAAAGTGAATGCTATGTAAATACTCATTTATAATATTTTATAGAAAATAAGAAGAAGAATAAAAGTTACTATTCAGTATAGACATAGTTATTTCTGAAAATTTTTGATTCACAGTTGGTTGAATCCACGGATACGGACAGCCCACTGGTACCAGACTCAGAAACCATATAAAATTCTGACCTTCAGCTAGGCAGTGGTACAAGCCTGTAATCGCAGCTACTTTGGAGGCTGAGACAGGAAGATCAAAAGTTTGAACACAGCTGGGGACTTTTGTGAGACCCTGTCTCAAAAATAAAAATATAGGGCTAGGGATACAGCTCAGTTGGTAGAGCGCCTGCCTCACACGCACCAGGCCCTGGGTTCCATCCTGGCCTCCATCCTGACAGCCTGCACTAATGGCCACATCGTGCAGCTACTTAACACTGGGAATGTGCAGCGTTTGGCCAGCCATCCATCCAGCCATCCAGCCAGCCACATGGGTCTAAAGAGAGAAAGACTTGGAGGCAGGTGGTCTAGGCGGGTAGAATATCTAGTATTTCTTTAAAACTAGAAACCTAGGGGTTGGTATAGCTCAGTTGGTAGGGTGATTTCCTAGCATGCACAAGGCCCTGAGTTCAATCCCCAGCACTGAAAAAAAAAAACCTGGAAATATGGTGGTGCACACCTGTATCCCAGTGGCTAAGGCAGGAGGATCAAAAAYTCAAAGCAGCCTCAGCAACTCAGTGAGGCCCTGTCTCAAAAAATGAAAAAGTGGATGTTGACAATGTGGTTCAGTGTTGAGCCCCTGGGTTCCATCCGAGTACCAAAAACAAAAACAAACAAAACAAACTGGGAACCTGGTTGTAAGATGCGCGGCCCCTGCAGCTGAGGAGAAGCAGCTGTCTCTAGCCTTCACTGCCTTCTCTTATCCTCTCCAGAGCCAACACAGACAGAACCAGGACTGGCCATGTGCTGGGCCACCCGCAGCACAGAGGTGTCGTAGTGGTGTCTGACCGAGAGCTGTCYCCCGTGGTCTTCATCCTCATCCGGCTACTCACTCATTTGGCTATGCTTTTGGGAGCCACCCAAAGTCCCAAGGTACAGGACGCTACCGCCAGACTCTGAGGTGCCAAGGGAAGAGCCAGCTGCCCTTGCATCAGTCCTTTGTCTGCCAAGTCCTAGCCCCTGGGGGTTTTACCTAGTCCACGAGTGCTCCAAGAGTTACAGACCCTACTTTTTCCACTGCGGCCTCGATGGAGTAGGGCAACTACTCATCAGATTATGGAAACTCCACTTCATTTTGTAATTTTCAAAATCTGTTTTATTTAACTGACACACAGCATGCTAGTGGGGTACAGTGTGACATCTTAGCATGTGTATAATAGGATGTAACACTCAGATCATAAAGTCTACTTGGAGTGCACACCTCTTTCCTCGGCCCACAGCTGGGCATGGTAGGGCAGGGGACCCCGTTGCCTGTGACCTCATGTTGGCTGCAGGAGGTACAAGGCAGTGTTCCCCGCCACACCCCGATGACATCAGTCAGCAGTCTCTCACTGCAGTCACCTGCCTTCCGTCCCCTGATGCCTGCGTCATGCTGAGAGCACCCTGGCCTCACCTAGAAACCACCCTCTCTCAGTGGGTGGTGTTCACCTCTGCCTGGTCCTTGCCCCCACAGGCCCTGATAAACATCATCAAGCCTCCAGTGAGGGACCCAAAAGGATTCCTGCAGCAGCACATCCAGAGAGACTTGAAGCAGTTAACAAAGACACTGGGGAAGAGTGCCGACGAGACCACCCACGTGGTCCACCTCATCCTGCGCTGCCTTCTCAAAGAGCAGTGCTCACTCCCTGGCCAGAGTAAGCAAGGGACAGGGCTGGGCACGACTCCCAGGAGGCCAGGCTCCCTTGGCTCCTGCTGAGCGGTGACAGGAGTGGAAGTGAGCTCTCTACTCTTCTTGCAGGGGCTGGAGGGCACCGCACTCCTCCACACACCCCCTGCCTGACTGAGGCCTGCAGCACAGACACCTGGTRCATGTGCACACAGACTTAACCTGTGCCCTGGGATCATGTTGTACCCCAGCAAGTGACACGTGTCCCACTTCTGCTTTCCCAAAGATGTCACACTTGTACCCTGACCTAGTATATTCACATCTACAATTTGTAACATGAACAAAAGGAGGCTACAAACACTGTTTGCCGGACTAACTCTTCTAAACATTTATATCCATGCCCAAAGCAAAGGTTTGCAAGGGGACTTTGTAAGTGGTTATCGTGGTGGCATTAGGAGGATTTCAGTTTGTTGCTTACCTGCAAAAATCATGATGACCACTGTAGAACAATGTTATTTAAAAGCCTACAGATAATTACAATTTCAATAATGTTCCTACAGCCAGAGAATCTGTTCCCCTTCAGGGTGTCTTTGCCAGAAAACAGCATTAGTGTGTAGTTCCCACCTTAGCGAGACCAACTTTGCCGAGTGCCTCTGTTGTGGTGTGGTTTCTGCAGCACACGGACCCGGGAGCCCTAACCTGCTGCCAGCTCATGGGACCACCTCTGCCTACGGGCCTGGGGGCAGCAGTGAGTTGGCTCTGTGTGGCTGTAAAGTTCTCGTCCTGTCCTCAGCCATTTGTTTGGAATGACTTTAAGACCACAGCTGTAGGGACCTGGGGACTCGGCTCAGTTGGTAGGGTTCTTGCCTCTTATGCACAAAGCCCTTGGTTCAATCCCCAGCACCACAAAAAAAAAAAAAAAAAAAAGATTAAAAAAACCACAGCTATGGCCTGGAGGGTTGCCAGAGACTACAGCATCTTCACAAGGTCTGGAGGCTGGTGTTGGCAGTACCTGGTTAACTTAAGAAAGGAAGACTATCTCTATTAATGTCATTCAGTGCTTACTGTATGGAGATTGCTGTTTTTTGTTTGTTGGGTAACAGACATTTTTGTTTTCTTTGCAGGGCATTTAAATTTTGATGCAGAATTATCAACCAAAGAATGGAGAAACAATTGGGAAAAACATGTTGCATCTCTTCTTCTACCTGAACTGGAGGTAAGGGGCAAGTGGTGACCAATCCTTAGCTCTGTCCAGGAGGGTCCCATTTATCTGAGCACTGTTGGCCCACTGTCCTCTGGAGGACCATCAGAGGCCTTACCTCGAGTCACTTCTCCTGCTGTCCCCAGGTGTCCCTCCTGTACTGGTCATAAGTCAGGCCAAGGATTATCAGGAGTTCTCAGAGGGCAGGCAGCAGCTTGCTCTCCACTGCTTTTTACAGCAGGTTGTGAAAGTAAGAGGCCGAGACCCTCCAGAAATGCACGGGCACTCTGGATTCATGAGTGCTCCGCTGAGAACATCAGAGCCGACTATCCACAGCAGGACAGGGAAGTCAGGAAGGGAAGGGTGGTGAAATACAGGCCCTAGAGTCCTGCTCTGTAGGACAAGGAACCCCTGAATCACAGTGAAAGAGAGCAAAAGTGAGCGTCTGGGGTGCAGAGGCAGGCTCCTGCGGAGCCACTGTGGCGTCCGCTCGGCTTTCTGGGTCAGTGCCCCACTTGCAGAATGCTGTGTCATTTCTTTACCCAGCATCTAGACAAGACCCTGCTGACTGTGAGCACGCTCATCAGCCAGGATGAACGTGTCAGCTCCAACCCCGTGGCCAAAATCATATATGGTGACCCAGCGAACTTCCTGCCCCGACTGCCCCAGAAAAATGTGGTTCATTGCTCAAAGATTTGGAGCTGCAGGAAGAAGATCACAGTCGAGTACCTCCAGCATGTTGTGGAGCAGAAGAACGGCAAGGAGATGGTGCCCATGCTCTGGCAGTTCCTGCAGAAGGTGTGTCCACCTCACAGTCTGCCTCCTTTACCTGCTAGGCTTCTCCTGAGGACCAGGAGGCTGTGACTGGGTTCAGAGTCATCATCATTCCTAGAGGCAGAACCCTAACCAACCCCATCAGCACTGTGATTCTGAATGCAAGGCCTGTAGCGTGAGTCTCAGGGAGAGCACAGAGGTCTAAAGACACATCTGCTGAAGTCACAGGTGGAATATGCACAAGTGGGCTTAGTGGTGCTCTGTAAGGAACTTAAAGACCAGGAGGGACCACCCTGGTCACTCAACTGTGACACCTTGTCTTCATCCCCAGAAGTTGAGCAGATGGTCACCAGCAAGTGCCTGCTCAACCAGGGGCCTCCCTGTGCCCTGCAGGCAGGAGGCCGTGTGTTGCATGATGTAGTTATACTGCCAGGCTCAGAAGTGGTCCCCAGCTTTCACCCACTTGAGCTCTCCTGGGCCACAGCAGATGTTCTCACCTCCTCCCTTATGGACCGTCATTACCATAGCTGACAGGGAGCAGAATGATTTGGAAAGGTCTGGTGCTCACACTAGGAAGGACTTGGTGCTAGTGTTGTGATCTCTTATCAAGACACAGTTTCATTTCACTGAGGATGCTGGATCCTGGCTCTTCAGAACAAAACCCAGCGACCACTGCCTGGGGTCTTGGTGTTTCCTTCCASCAGCCTCACACTCAACTGTGGGCCTAGGAGGCAAAATTCTTTTTATTTTTCCCTAATTATTTACTTTTATTAATTAATTAGTTGTACACATTAATGGAATTGTGATATTTCCATGTATGCATATAGCATGTGCTGATCTCGCCTGTGTCTGGCTTGTTTCACTTAACAACAGAACGTCCTCTAGTTCTATCCATTTTGCTGAAAATGACAGGACTTCATTCTTCTTACAGCTGAATTATTTTCAGCTATTATGTATAAACCACATCTTCTTTATCCATTCATCTGCGATGGGCTTCAGGGAGATTCCATGTCTTAGCTATTGTGAATGGTGTCACGTAAACATAGTGTGTAGTACCTCTTTGATGGGCTGACTTCCTTTGGAGTGGGCTGTCTGGATCACATGGTAAACCTTTTTTTAGTTTAAGAAACCTCCATACTGTTCTCCATTATGAGGTACTAATTTACATTGCCACCAGGAGTATATTAGAGTTCTTTTTTCTCTTTATCTTTGCGTACATTTGTTATTTTATGTTTTGGGGCTCATTTATTTTGGCGGGTTGGGGAATAGTGGTGACTGAACCAGGACCTTGGGCATGCTAGGCAAGCAACGCTCTACTACTGAGCTACAGCCCCATCCCCAGCCCTCCACACTTTTTAGTTGTAGATGGACACAATATTTTTAGTTGTAGATGAACACAATATTTATTTATTTTTCTGTGGTGCTGAGGATCAAACCCAGTGCCTCACATATGTGAGGCAAGTGCTCACTAACTGAGCTACAGCCCCAGCCCTTGTTTTTTTAAAGACAGAGTCTCGCTTAGTTGCCCAGACTGGACTAGAACTTGCTGAGGCTAGCCTCAAACTTGTGATCCTCCTGCCTTAGCCTCCAGAGTAGCTGGGATCACAGGTGTGTGCCACCACATCTATCTTCTTTTTATAAGAGCGATTCTAATTGTGGTGGGATGGCATCTCATTGTAGTTTTGATTTGCATTCCCTGATGGCTATTGATATTTGAACATTTTTTCATATATTTGTTAACCACTTTTATTTTTTCTTTTGAGAAGTGTCTATTCAGATCATCTGCTCATCTTAAAATGTATTACTTTGATTTTTTTTTTTTTTTCAGTTATATATTCTGGGTATTTACCTGCTGTCAGGTGAATAGTTGGCAGCTATTTCTCACATTCTATAGGCTGTCTCTGTTCCTTTGGGTGTTTTCTTTGGTGTGAGACTTTAACTTTGATGTAATCATCTTGCTCTTACTTTCTGTGGTTTGGGGGTTCTATCCAGAAAGCCATCACCTGTGCCAATGTCTTGGAATGTTCCCTCTATTTTTCTGCTGGTAGCTTCAGAGGTCAGGTCTTACATCTGGGTCTTTGGTCATCTAGAGTTGATTCCTGTGCAAACTGAGAGACGGGGCCCAGCTCAGTCCTCATAGCAGCTCTTCGTTGGAGGAGTGCGGGGACTTGGTCCTGTCATCCTACATCCCTGAGTGCAGGGCATGTTTACCGTATCAAAGGCCCTCTCTCCGTACTTGGCCCTTTTCCCATTTGCAGGGTGTGATTGTATAAAACAATCCACTGACCAGATTAAACCACTCAAAGTCTCCAGCCTGCCCCAAGTCTACAAGCCCCATGTCGTTTCTCAGTTACATAGTGGAAGTGTTACTGAGCCATCTTCCCTTCTCCAGGAGGCAGAACTGAGACTGGTGAAATTCTTGCCTGAGATTTTGGCCCTGCAAAGGGATCTGGTGAAACAATTCCAGAATGTTCCAGAAGATGAATACAGTACCATCAGGAGTTTTATTAGCAGTCACAGTTCAGGTATGACTGCTGTCTACTCCAACAAGATAAGGAACACCCATGTTTGGTGGTGCAAAAGGATCATTCAGGTTGGGGCAGAAGGGTGGGGCCTAGGTCCTAAGCTAGAGTGTGAGGTAAAAAGGATGCCAAATCCCAGAGACATACTGAGAGCTGCTGCTGTGGCTAGAAACATCACACACACACACACACACACACACACACACACACACACACACACCCCTTCTCACACAACCTCAAACGTGAAATGCAGGTGTGCTGCTGATTGTGGGTAGGTGCAGGGTCAGGTTCTCGGGAGCACGCCTTGTGGTCTGACCCTGGCCAGGGCACTGTTTCCAATGGGGACCTTACCAAGTGTCTTGCTCAATAGATGGGCTGAGGCAGCTGTTYCACAACAGGATCACCATCTTCCTGTCCACGTGGAATGCACTGAGGCGATCACTGGAGACCAACGGTAAGTGTCCTCCTCCACCTGGTTCTGCCAGCACCCTGCTGTATGCCTGGCAATGCAACCTGTGGACAGAGGTGCTGAGCTACGTGAACCAGCCTCTAACCTAACCCTCAGTCCTCTGGAATCTATAAATATGGGATCAGAAMGGACTTGAGACCACTGAAAACTTAACAGTCAGGGTCCAGCTTTATGGAGGCAGCTGCCCACACTGCCTTCCTCCTACCCTACCTCCAGTCTGTGACCCAAATGCCTAAAGCAGAATCCCTCTGCTTAGAAATGACCCTGTCTTTTAAAGGTGAAATCAAGTTACCCAAAGAGTACTGCAGCTCCGATTTGGATTTGGACACAGATTTTGAGGTCGTCCTGCCCCGGCGTCAGGGCCTGGGTCTCTGCTCAACTGCGTTAGTCAGCTACTTGATTAACCTACACAATGAAATCATCCACACAGTGGAGAAGTTCTCCAGGGAAAACAACAGGTACTGTGCATCCCACCACCCCTGCCACCAAGCCTGGTTGCAGACTCCAGCCAGCAATAGCTCCCGTCCCCAGTCCCCCTCAGCTTTCCTCCACAAAGCCCAGTGTTTGCACATGGTTTTCACTTGCTCACACTATGAGGGCAGGAGCAGGAGCACATGCCCCATACCTGCCCCAGACACCAAGGGACATCTTCTGTTCCCCAGCTATTCCGTGGATGCCTCTGAGGTCACTGACCTGCATGTCGTCAGCTACGAAGTRGAGCGGGACCTGATTCCACTGATTCTCTCCAACTGCCAATACCAAGTGGAACAAGGCGGGAAGACCTCTCAGGAGTTCGACCTGGAGAAGATCCAGCAGCAGATTAGCAGCCGCTTCCTCCAGGGCAAGCCCCTGCTGACCCTCAAGGTAGGCTGGGCGCTCTGCAATGATTGGCTTGTCAGGCATGAACAGTCCTTGTGGGTTTCAGGGAGAACAGACGGAGGGGACACCTAAGGTCTCCTCTGCGTCATCTCCCCCACTGGTGGTCTGCGGTCCCTGTACTTTCTCTGGGCTGGGAGGTGTCCCCAGCTCTCTTCCACATCCCCATCTGCACATGTCCCCAGGGCAGCCTCAAGTCTCAGTGGACTGGGTGTCCACCACACTTAATGGCACCACCCAGAAGACCTGTCATTGCTGCCGTCCCTTCAGTTCACATGCAGCCCGTGCCCGGGAACCACCACCATGCCTTCCCCACGCCCTTGTCCTGTAACTGCCACTGCCGTGGCTTCAGTTCAGAGCACTCTGCCTTCAGTCCACCTGCCCAGTGCTCCCTGCAGCACCATGCTATGCGGACAGTGCTACATGGGCTCTACCGTATTCCCTGGCTGGCACAGAAAGCCCTGTCACCTGGCCCCAGACCAACCTTCGAGCTGTCTCCACCCCCTGCCTCACTTGCTGCTTCAAACCCGTGACCTGCCTCTTGACTCCCTGAACATGGTAGCACTTCCACACTGTCCCTGTCTATGGCCGCACTCATCCTTTCAGGTCCAGTCGGGTGTCATACTCAGCTTATTTATTCCCTCATTGCCCGCAATCAGGCTGTCAGTTGTTGGAGTCCAAAGCCATTTTTAATTCATCCTGACAGTGGCTGCCTTGTGCATGGTCTCTGCTCAGTGTTGCTGGAGAGCTCACCAATGTGCACATTCCCATTCCCATTCCTGCTCCTCCAACACTTTTGGGCTCTTGTGGTCCTCAGACACACTGGTCTACAGGGCAATATCTGCATGGCCGCTGTAGCCAGCCTGGACTTCTTACACTACTGTGTCCAAAGAGTGTGGCTTAAACAGAGCATTAGGAGGCAGCAAAGCTACATGCCTCGCCCAGGAATATACTGTCTGCCTTGGTCCTTCCTCTGAGTCACTGCTGAAGAATACATCTGCCATCACATGGAAGCCTCCACTATGAATTTAATTTCCAAAAGCTGTTTTTCTTTCTCACCTCAGGGGATACCCACGCTGGTGTACAGACATGACTGGAACTTCGAACATCTCTTCATGGGCATCAAGAACAAAATGGCACAGGTGGTCATGATGAGCCCTCACCTGCAGGGTGGTTCCATCCACATACATAAGGACAGTCTGGTCCCATCCTGGTGTCCACTGTGAGCACCAGGCTCTCTGGCTCCCAAAGGACCCCAGGGGCTCCAGAAGAGAGGCAAGCCGGTGGCAAGCAGATCATAATACTTTCTGACGCCTTGGGGGTTGTTGTCTTGATGATGTCCTGACCAGGGTGCCACAGATGGAGAACTCAATTTCTCCTGCTCCTTAGGTTCTGCTGTCAACAGATGGAGAGGCTATTGWGCCTCTCCACGTCCTCACGGGGCCTTTGGAGGATTCAGTTAGCTCAGGCCTGTTCCTACGCACAGTCTGTACACTGGCACACTGGGCAAGCACAGGGATCAGCTCTTACCACAAGTGCTGGACAGTTGGCCTGCCTGTGCCGGCAGCTCAGAGTTAGGCTCTTACCAAGTAGGAGAAGCAATAGCCTGACCCAAGCCTGTCCTGCTTTTGGTTTCAGAGCCCCCTCCCCAGCTCGGCCATAGGTGCCATCAGTGGACAACTGCAGTCCTACAGCGATGCCTGTGAAGCCCTGTCTGTTGTAGAGATCACTCTGGGCTTTCTAGGCACAGCTGGTGGGGATCCAAATATGCATCTGAATGTGTATGTCCAAGACATCCTGCGAATGGGTGACCAAATGACTCCAATTTTAAAGGTGGGTCCCATATGCCTTTCAAGGAGAATCAGCATCGCCTCGCCTTAGTTTCCTGCGAGAATGCCACCACGCAGGGAGCACCCATGTAGACACCCCTGGAAAGGAGTGGTGAGGAACCCCCACCCCCAGTCAGTCTACAGAGTAGTGGTGCCAGGAGAGGCAGGGATGCTCAGTGCTGGCCACCTACTTAKAGCAGGATGCACAGGGGACTAAGGACATTGGCTGCCTGCTCACTGTGTGATGCTGAGACAYGAGTTGCTACAGGAAGGGGAGACTCTTAGATATTTGGAAGACGAGACAGGTAGAGGTGGCCTCATGACAGGAAATGGGCAAAACAGGGAGAAATGCCCTGGGTAGCACCAAGGGAGTCTGCGTGCCTTCACCTCCTACTCAAGACTCTCTTCCTCTTCCAGGCCTTAAGCAGGGGTCAGTTAAAACACGCTATTGCCCTCTGGCAGTTCCTCTCTGCTCATAAGTCGGAACAGCTGCTGCGACTGAAGAAAGTGAGTCTGCCCTGCCTCTGCCTAGATGAAGGGAGCCACACCCTCGTCCCAGGCTCTGATGTTGTGCTTGTTCACCTTCTTTAGGATCCTTTCCGGGAAATCAGTCCTGTGTTCAAAGCCGACCTCAGCCCAGAAAGTGCTAAGCTCCTCAGCACCTTCCTGAATCACACAGACCTGGATGTTTTCCTCCTGGAGCTCCATGAAATGATGGTGTTGAAACTAAGGAAAACCCAGACCCGGGACAGCTTCAACCCCGAGTGGAGGTACGGTGTGCACCCTGCCAGCCAGCAGGTGTGCAGAACACCTGCCCCTCCATGGTAGTTCTGTCTTACATGGGACCCTCGGTCTACTGTTCTCCATCACAAGAGCAACTAGGGGCTGGCTTCTTTGGTTTTAATCTTTTGGGGACTTTAAAAAAATAACTAAAAAATCATTTATTCTTATTATAACAAGTATACTTAACTATGTCAAAGAGATGCATTTTAGATCAGGAAGAAAAAGCCACAACAATGTATGAAGTCTAAAAATACCCCAAATTATCTAAAATCTTACATTTTTGTCAATCTAATGGCCAAAAAATGATATCTTGCTTTCATTTGTGTTTCCCTACCTACTTGTGTGGCTGGCACATTTTAAAATTTATCACCATTTTTTAATTATTGTCTGAATCATCTCTTGGTAGCTTTTGGTTACTGGGCAGGGCAGTTGATCTCTTTTTTATCATTTGGTACCAGGGATTAAATCCATGGGCACTTAACCACTGCGCTGCATCCCCAGCTTTTTATTTTTCATATTGAGACAGGGCCTCTATTGCTGAGGCTAGCATCAAATCTATAATCCTCCTGCCTCAATCTAACCAACTGCTAGGATTACAGGCATATGCCACCACACCTGACCAGCTTATCTCTCTTTTTTTTGAGGTGCATCATTTTGATGACATCCTAAAGTTCAGAGTAACGGGCCAGAGGGGCCTTTGGGCTCAGCAGCTGTGAAGAAGGAGGGGTCCCAAGTATACCCTAAGGCAGGACACTGCAAAAAGGCACTCATGAGGGGGGCTTCAAGCCCCTCTGATACTTCATATAAAATCGGGGTGGGGAGGCCCCAAGAGTAAGGGAGGCAAAGAGACCATCCCTCCTGGCCCATGAGTAAAAGAGACAAGGAGTGGGGGGTTGGGTGCTGGGAGCAGGAAACTTGCTAAGTCAGTGGCCTGCCCCCACCCCCACACACACACCCCACCACACTTTCCAGCCCCTCTCTAAAATATGCAGTGGGGCCCTGAGGAGGGGGAGCCCTCATGTTCAAACCCCCAATTCTCCCACCTAGCTGGTACGAAGTTGATAATTGCCACTCTGGGTGATATAATAAATCCAGGGCAGGGCCTGATAGCCGCTTTTCTCAATGATCTTCATGTAATGGACCTTGATGAGTTTCTTTCTTAATGGTTTGTAAAAGCTCTTTGTATAGAACAGATTAATCTTTGATCCACACATCGTCTAGTCTAGAAGTCAAAGCTGATGGAGGAATTTTTCATCAAGCCTTGTGGGGCTGGGTTCAGTGGTACATGCCCATAATCCYGCGGCTTGGGAGGATCAGGAAGATCATGAGTTCACAGCCAGCCTCAGCAACTTTGTAAAGCCCTAAGCCAGAGACCTTGTCTCTAAATAAGATATAAAAAAGGGTTGGGGATGTGGCTCAGATGGTAACACACCCCTGGGTGCAATCCCCAGTATGAAAAAGACAACAGAAAARGCCATCATGGAGACACTCTCTGGAGGCCCTCCTTATCGCATCCTGGGGTGCTAAAGCAGCCTCACACTTTCTCCTGCTACCTTTATAGTTCTGTCTCGCACGTCTGTTTCGTTAGTTCACTTTTAATGTGTGGTGTGAGGCAGCCATTTCACTTGACTAGTTTTCTAGATGGATAGTCAGGCTACCCTGGCCATGTGTGCCCTCAGGCCATATGGCACATGCCTGTGTACAACAGAGCTCCCCTTCTAGAGAATCTGCCATGGGAGGGAATGCATGCCTTTTCTGAATGGCAAAGCCCCATTTCTGATGCAGCCAGACAGGCCCGTCAGGGGAGTGCCTGAAGTGGCCCAGCTGGACATCCTTGAGGAAGCTACGCCTTGGACTCCAGGTCCAGCTCAGGAACCTGACAGCTGGCTGACTTTAAGCTGTCCCTCAGGGTTTCTGGTCTTAGTTAGCACTTCAGACCTGTCAATGCCTGGAAAGAGTGGCAGCTGGTGGGCTCCTGAAGCTCTAAACACTCTCTTTTTTCCTGACTTTGCAGCCTGAGGGACACTCTGGTGAGTTACATAGAAACTAAAGACAGTGACGTTCTTCCAGAAGTGGAATCCCAGTTCCCAGAAGAGATCCTGCTGTCTAGCTGCGTGTCTGTGTGGAAAGCAGCAGCTGCACGGAAACAGGACCGGCAAGCAAGATAGGACTGTCCACTCTGTTTCTGAATACACTGCAGACATGGCTCCCYCCCCTCTGGGGGCACCTGGGAGGAAAGTGTTGGCACAGCACTGAAGTCAAGGCCAGCACGTAGTGTGCCAGCTTACAGCTTTTTTTAAAGCCAAGCCATTTCTGGAACAACTGCAGATTCCAGAATTCTTGTCTTATATATGAATACTGTTCAGTAAGTGGTGAGGATGGCAATTATTTGGAAATGGAAATCACCTGCCACCCTGTGCATTTGAAGAACAGAAATGAAGGGGCACACCAGCAGAGACCTGTGTCGGGCCTGCAGCCTCTTCCTCCCACTGCCACACAGGCAGAACACAGGCATGTTGGTCTTTTTTCTTCTCTATTCTATTCTGCACACATAGAAGAGAATCTGTTTTTCTTTTCTCTTCCAGTCCCTGAAATTCTGCACACTGTGCCCATATTTCTTGGGTTCTAAGATGTGAAAAAAGCACCACATTCATCTTCTAACACAAGGAAAGCCAGGGTGTCCACACTTGCCTTAAGACCACATGAACAAACACCAACCAGACTGTGAGTCACTGCCAGATTCCAAAAGGTCAGAGCCAACAAATCTGTGACGAGCATGGGATTCAGGACATTGCTAGGGTTTCGGTTTCCCCATGAATAAAATGGAGTCTACTGTCAGTCAGAGCTCCTTCTGGTTTTTGTATCTTGAGCTTATAAATGAAGTTCATCAGAGGCAGCTCCTGGTGATGCCATGGGGAGGTTTTGGCTGTGGGTGTTGTACTATGTAAGCATGCAGTCTTGGTGCCAGGTCAGCTTCCCTGAGTATGTGCATTCCTTTCTTTCAGTCTCAACCATACCATAAAAACTGAGTCTCAGAGAGAGTACAAAACCAGTTCCGTTTCTGAAAAAGGGAAAATACTTGCCCTGATCTTGTGCTGCCTTTTTCATTTTAAGTTTTGTCTCCTTTTGAAACCTCTGGATGAATTCCTGTTCCTCACAGCTCAGGGCCCATTTGCAGCGGGATCAGGATACCAGCCATCCACACCTTGGAGGCCCTGTCTTTCATGTACATTCCAGATAAGTTAGGGATCCAATCAGGCCTATACTTTTGAGCTACAGAAATGCAAGAGGGGTGAAGGGCACACAGCTCAGTAGTGCTTGCCCCACGTTCACAAGGCACCTCCCTGTGCACACCTGCAAAGGCAGGCATAGAAGCAACTGCAGTTCCTCTCCATGAATGAGCCCCCATCGTCTGCAGAAGGAAGTGCAGTGACGGACCTTGGGGTAGTAGCTGCTTTCACAGAACATGTGCTTGCATTTAGTGAGCTGTGAACATTCCACTTTCCCTCCCACCACATCCCTGCCTAGCAGAACCAGAGCACTTGGCCTTGGGTGCCTGGGGGTCAGGGTGTAGTTTGCCAGGGCCAGCAGGTTCTCACTGCCACACCTTCACAGRTAGAATCAGGTGTCAAGTCCTTGATGTGAAGACCCTTTTTCTCCCTTTGACCTGGGCATTTTTTTCTGTTATGTTTTATTTTAGATGCTATGCTTTCAAAGCCTTAACTGTCATATCTAGTATGATTTATACAAAAATACACTGGAGCAGAGGCAAAAGTAAATTTCATTATACTTGTAATGCTTTTTTAATAAAYTTGATTTCTGTTGCTAAAGGATCCCTCTCCTTGTGGGCCACGCTACTGTGTACAGCATGTAGGMTGTGGGAATGGTTGTGGGTTTTTGTGGAAATGTCCTTGCGGAAGTATTTATGAAGCAGTCAGTTCAGAACAGAAGGCCACTCTAGAATGTGAGATAGTAAACTTCCTCTGGACAGAATAACAGCAGAACAGCATGTCCACAGTAGAAAAACCATAAGCCTCATCCGGGGAGTGGAGGGTGTCCTCTGCTTAAAGGGGCTTAACTGAAAACAGCAGAGCTCCAGCTACCAACTGCACCTTGATGTGCTGCCAGAATGGGTCTGCAGAATGCTCAGTGGGACAGGAGAAACCCTGAGGCCTGGAGCTGGGTTCCAGTGGTTCGAGCAACAACTGGCACATGTTCTGCAGTTTTCTGACCCCTTCAAATTGATAAAGCCTATGCTCAAGCATTCAGAATCCCAGGTCCAGCTGGAAAAAAAAGGCACAAGTGCTTTCTCCTRAGTGAAAATACTAGCAAAACTCACACCTTCCCCGTAGGGACAAGAGCCTGCTTCCTTTTCAGCTGGTGGAAATGTTTTAGAGAGCCAATTGGGGAGGGCCCTGCACGTGTAGGCTGCCCCCACTGCTCTTGAGGTTGCTCCTGCTTGGGGGCTCCCTAGCCTTTCCCTTCACGTGGACCCACCAAGGTCAGTATACCTTCCTGATCACTACCTGTATCCCAAGGCACAATGGAGCCTCAGCCCAGAGCACAGCCACCTCCTCAGAACCCTAAATCTAAGCAACCAGGCTGACGCATCACAGCCCAAATGGACATGAGTGTGGGTCTTGGCTCTCCTGTTTGCTCGCTCAATGACCATGGAAAAGCCATTTGGTCTCTTTCAGCCTCCATTTTTTGACGTGCAAAATGCCTCCCAGTTCTGTAGTGAGAACTGGAGACCTGGCATGGGGTGGGTGCTCAAGAAATGGGACACCCCCACTCCCCCAGGCGGGAACTTGCCCACTTTCAGGGCCTGGTCAGTTGTTGGCGCTACAGGAAGTCTTTCCCACACCTGAAACTAATTAGTCTAGCAGTGTTCTGTATCGTCCTCTTGAAATCTACATTCACACTACATGACTTAGGCACACACTTTTCTAAGTTCTCATAGAATATGAGGCACGGGTTAAACTGCTACGCTTCCGCCTCACTGGCTGCCGTTCCGTGCCTCAGGACCTTTACACCGCTGTTCCCTCCGCTGGCCTGCGCTCTCCACTCACCCTTCAGGTCCCTCCCAAACACCCTTCCCAACCACCAGGTCCAGGCCAGCGCCCGGGGTTTCCGGGTCACTCCGCAGTCACRCGCCGCCGCCGCCGCGCCATCTATTCACCCAGCTTCCTGCCCCTGGGAAGCCCCTCGAGGTGTGCCGCCCCCGCACCTCGCMCAGCGCCAGGCACTGGAGCACCGAGGACGCGTTCCTCCCACCCAGGACGGGCCGGCCCACGTGGAACCGGACTGCAGCGCGCCTGCCGCGCTCGGCGCTCCCTCGTTTCCCTGCGCTGGAAACGGTSCTGCGACCCGCGCGGCGCCGCCGAAGAGCGCGACCCAGGCCGACTCCAGCAGCGGCGGCCCCTCGAGCCAGCGCACGCGGCGCGCCGGAAGTGACGTCGCCGGAAGCGCCGGGCCGAGCCATGGCCCAGGAGGTCGCGGGGCGGCYGCCGGAGGAGACGCTGTCGCTGTGGAAACGGTTAGCGGTGGCGCGCCGCGGCCGGGGCGGGGGCTGCGCGGCGCTCGCGGGCCCTGCGGCCTCGGGACCCGGCGGCGGGACGGCGGGGACGGCGGGGCCCGCGCCCGGCCGGGCTGACCCCTCTTCCTCCCAGGGAGCAGGACCGGCTGAAGGCTCTCCTGGTGGACCGCGACACGGAGGCGTGGCAGCGGGACCCCGCCTTCTCGGGTCTGCAGAGGGTCGGCGGCGTGGACGTGTCCTTCGTGAAAGGGGACAGTGTCAGCGCYTGTGCCTCCCTGGTGGTGCTCAGCTTCCCCGAGCTCGAGGTAACCTGGAGGGACCGCGGGCCGAAGGCGGGAGCGGACTGGTGGCCTTTGCTCTGTCCTTTTCTCCTCCTCGGCGGTGTGGGGTGAGCCAGGCCCTGGCACAGGCCAGGACAGCCCTACCCCCCAGCCCGCTGTCGTAGGATTCCAGTGACAGGCGAGAGGCATTGGAGGGGTAGCACAAAGAGAGAGGCTGAGGGCTTTCTGTGGCCGGTAGGGACCGCCCGTGGTCTGGACCTCCGAGCCTGGCCGGCTTCAGTGACCGGCAGCACACACCCAGAGCTGCCCAAGCAGCTGTCCCTTCCTGGACTCCCCTTCCCCTCACATCCTGTGGGATGTCAGCTCGCATTTTCAGCTTCTTCAATCTTGCTGGGATCTGGCCCCTTGCCTGCCTCCCCTTGGCCCCTACCCGGTCTGTGCTGCCATCTCTGCTCCTGTAGGTTTCTGAGCCGAATTGTCATGGGCTCCCCACCCCAAGACTTGCCCCTTGGTGCCTAAGTGATTTCCTTTAAAAATAAGAAATTAAAAAGATAAAGTCTATCATTGTCACCATGAGTTCTCTTAACAGCACTTCAGTGTCCTTCCTGGGGCCTCAAGATAAATCAAGTTCACGCTTGATAGTGGCTTGAAGCCCTTTGTGATCTTTTCTCTGCTTGATATGACCCTGTAGGCTGGGCTCCCACCACTATTATCCTTCCCACTCCCCACTCCACACCACAACCTCTCAGGACAGCTTTGCTCCCTCGCAGGCTGTGCCACCTGGCCTTTCCAGGCACACTTCCTCTCCTGGCATAGTCTTCACCTAGCCAGCTTCCACTTCCCTATTAGGACCCAAAGAGCCCCTGACCCCACAAGTCCAGGAGTGGCCCCGGCACCCTTGTCTTAGTCCATTTGGGCTGCTATAGCACAATACCTCAGACTGGGTGCCTTATAAACAAAGATTTATTTCTCTCAGTTCTGGAGGCTGCAAGTCCAAGAGTCCTACTACACACACATTCTCTAGAACCTTCTACCTCCCCCACCCCCATTTTTGTTATTGAATCCTCCAGATGTCTTAGTGATAGCTCCCAARTTACAGTTTCTACTAAACACATCTAAGAGAACTGATTCCTCTGTGTTAGCCTGGAAGTCTGGGACTTGTCTCTTGGCCTTTTTATCAGTAACTCAGTAAGAAACTTACCTACAAATGACTCAAAGTGGGGTGGGTCCACTCTAATGGTAAACAAGAGAAACTGATTCTTAATGAACCCAAGCAGGATGGATGGCTGAAGCCTACAGATGACCTTCCACAGGGACACAAGGTGCATCCTGTGTCCCCATAGGATGATGGTGGCTGCTTAATTAGAATTTCTTCACACAAGTTCCAAAAACCAGATAGAGCCACAAGAAAGGAAAGCCCCTTTTTGTTTCCCAAGCCCATGATAAGATGAGCCTGTCAGAGATGTCACTGTGCCCCCTGGTGGGGAATGAAACCCACCAGGCTACAGAGTAACTCAGGCTGGGGAGACTCCGCCCTCAGGTGCTCTAGGCAGAGGCTGACCTACAGGCCCTGCGAGATTATAACCAGCAACCCTCTTCCCTGTGGGGCAGGGTCTTTTGGGTTTGAAACAGTCTCTTTGCCAGAGAAGCCTAAGAAAGAGAGTTAACTTTAAAAGCTCTCTGGGTTGTTCCCAGCCATTCAGGAAGCCCGGGTCCTCTGGGCCTTCTGTCCTCCTCACCTCCTGGCAGTGTGTGCAAGGTCTTCAGTCAGTTCTTCTGCTGAGCCCATGGCTCCACCCAGTGTGCACTCCCCTCCTCCCTCAGTGTCTCTAAGTTCTCCTGTCTCTGGAGACACCAGTTCTCTTAGATTTCCTAGCTCTGAGGGCATGCCCGCCTTTCTAGATGATTAGAGGTCTTTTCATAAAGCCAGTGTGGCAACCGTACTGTCCCAGTCTCTAGGAGACCTGGCTTTCCCATCCCTCCCAGTGTCCACAGGGTGTTGCCTTCCTGCTAGTGCCTTCCTGTGCCTTGTCTCTGAGCCTCCAGTGGCCCATGCACGTGGTGCAGTCAGTGTTGACTTACAAGGAGGCCCAGAAGGGCAAGGGGCACCTAGAGGTGAGGCTAGTCACCACCCTTAGAAGAGCTCCTGGGAAGAGGGGCCAGGGGTCCTCAAACTCACCAGGTCCCGAGTGAGCACTCAATCCCCACCACCATTTTCACCATTTTCAGGGAAGGTTATCTTGTCCCTTCCTTCAAACCTATTGTCTTGCATGTCCCACTCATAGGTGGGGCAGAGAAGGGAGTGGTGGGTGGGGCAGAGAGGGAAGGTTGGTTGTTGGCAGTTAACAGGGCAACAAGGCAGAGAAAATGAAGGGAGGAAGCAGGTGGCCTCAGGCCCTGCTGACCTGCATGCCTSGTGGCAGGTGGTGTATGAAGAGAGCCGAATGGTCAGCCTGACGGCCCCCTACGTGGCAGGCTTCCTGGCCTTCCGAGAGGTGCCCTTCCTGTTGGATTTGGTGCAGCGACTACAGGAGAAGGAGCCGGACCTCATGCCTCAGGCAAGTGACCCATCCCAGGGGCAGGAAAGCCGCCCCTCTGCTTCTGCCTGGGGGRGGGAAGGCCCCCTGCAAGCCACCACCACCACCACCATAACCAGAAAAGAAGATTTTCAAAACAGCTGGACCCCTGTGGCAGTTCCCCTTCCTGCAGCTCCAGGAACATCCCAACCTGAGGAGTGAGGGTCAGCTTAGCTGACTGTGACTCCCCTGTGGCTCTGTAGGTCCTTCTTGTGGATGGAAATGGGGTGCTTCACCACCGAGGTAATCCTGCTCCCAAAAGAGAAGGTCAGGGTGGGTGCTGGGAGAGACTGGGAGAGGGTACTTCCCACCCCACGGCAAGAGCATCTGCCAGCCAGGCACTGATGGCTGCTTTCTGGGCTTGTTTTCACCATCAGGACAGATCCCCACCCAGAGAAGAGCCCCACTTTCACCCCACCCTCACTGCTACCCTCCTCTTCCCCACAGTACCCTATGCAGGCCCCTCTCCAGGACCTTGGTCTAGTGCCAGCCTATCCCCTGTGAAAAGTCATGGGTCTGAGCTCAGGGCACCCCACCCTCACTACTGTCCCCAAGCTGGACAGTCAGGTCTCTGTCTAGAATCAGAGTGGCATTTCCTATAGATGAAGGGACCTTGGCCCAGGAGTGGCATTTCCTATAGATGAAGGGACCTTGGCCCAGGAGAGTGCTGAGGTTGATGGTCACCTGGCCCAAAGCCAAAGGGTAAATGCATGCTGACCTGGATGCTGGTGCTGGGACCAACTGGCTGCTCCAGGGCACGGCACAGGCCATGGGAAGATATGCAGAGGCCTCAGGGCAGCAGCAAAGGGAGAGGAGGAAGGAAGTTGCCAGAAAATGAAAGGAAGCAGAGGGTRAAGTGTTGTGAGCATGCTGATCAGGCTACTGGGCCTGCCAGGCAGGAGGCCTCCTCTGCCCCGACCTCACCCAGGACCTCGCAGCCGAGAGGGTCTTGGAGTCTGGTCCCTGAGTGCTCTACTGGTCTGCAGAGGGTGTGGTTCTGTTCATCCCTCACCCTGCACCCCTCTTCAGGCTGCGTGGCTTACTGCTGCCCAACCCCATTGCCCCAGTTCACCCTCCTCTGCCCCCTGCCAGGCTTTGGGGTGGCCTGCCACCTTGGCGTCCTCACAGAGCTGCCCTGCATTGGGGTGGCCAAGAAACTCCTGCAGGTGGATGGGCTGGAGAACAATGCCCCGCACAAGRAGAAGGTAAGGAGGCCTGGACAGCCTGGGCTCAGCCAGCAGGTGCTGGAGCAGCCCTGGGGTTGGGAAGGACAGGTCAGCTACCTCCCAGACACCTCTGTGTCCCTGGATCCTGGCCCAGAATAAAGCAGGTCTGGTGTTCTCTGGGTGCCTCCCAGCCTGTGGCTTGCAACCCCTGGGGCTCCTGGACTCCTCCCCCTTCTAGGACTGCCTCTTCTGTCTCCACCTCTGGGCTGCTGCCACACGCCTATGGGTTACTGTAGGTCATGTCCTCCAGTCACCCCCGTGCCTCCCAGTCACCTGTCCCCCAGGGTGCTCACCCAGCTCAGCCTCCAGGCCCTGCTCACGGTGCGCCCTGTGCTCTGGGCCACTGCTCCTGCCTGTGACTACATCCACACCCTTTCTCATCCCTGCATCTCCCTTCTCTGGCTCCACAGCCTGCAGTGAGGAGGTGACGTTAACATTTTGGCTTTCCCACTGGACACCGAATTCCAAGAGCAGAGACCCTATCTGTCCTTTCCTCCGGCTCAGGCACTGTGTGGAGCACTCGTTCCACAAACATCTGTGAAGTGGGTGGGGGTCCAGGTCCCACCCAGGCCAGTGCAACCCACTGTGGGCCCATCCTCTTCCCTGCAAAGGAAAGTGTGGAGGTGGCCTACACGGGCCCAAGTTCCTAGTAGGAAAGGAAGCAGGAGGAAGGTAGAAGCTCAGTCCTGGCCACAGCCTGCTGCCAGGGTGGCCCTGTGTGCCCTGGCCCCTCCTTTGCTTACCAGGGCGCTGTGGTCCCAGGTGAGCTGCTGCCCATCTCAAAGTCCCTGTTTTCAAGTCAGATGGGGTCCTTGGGCACACTGAGGGCTGTCTCAGCAAATGGCTTTGCTCGGGTACAGTATTCATCCAAGAAAGGGCCCTTCCCTGGCTGTGACTATGTTTTGTTTTTTTTTTTTTTTTGGGGGGGGGGCGTGTTTTGCTACTGGGGATTGAATTCAGGGACACTCGACCACTGAGCCACATCTCCAGCCCTGTTTTGTATTTTATTAGAGACAGGGTCTCACTGAGGTGCTTAGTGCCTTGCTGTTGCTGAGGCTGGCTTTAAACTTATGATCCTCTTGCCCCAGCCTCCTGAGCCACTGGGATTATAGGCGTGCACCACTGCACCCAGCTCTGACTGGGTTTTAAACAGGAAGAGGCTTGCCTCAGCCCTTCACCAAGAAAAGAAATTTTTTGCAAGCTTTCTCCCCCTTTTCCAGATCCGGCTCCTGCAGGCTGGAGGAGATACATTTCCTCTGATGGGAGGCTCTGGAACTGTCCTGGGAATGGTGAGTGGCCCSGGCCTTGGCCCTGCTCTGGAGGTCAGGGCAGAGTGTGCACTCGCACACATGCCCCCCAGGCCCTTTGACGCCAGCACTTGCCCACCCTGCCCCGGGACAGGCAGTGGGAAGGAGCCTAGGGGATGGGAGTCCAAGAGCTCCCTGATGCCACCCAGGATCTCCTCAGCTCCTCTAGCCCCTGCGGCTGGCCTGGACCCAGGGGCACGTGTCCTCATAGCTCTCTGACCTCCCTTCCATGCTTAGGCCCTGAAGAGCCACAGTCACAGCACCAAGCCTCTCTACATCTCTGTGGGCCACAAGATAAGCCTGGAGGCCGCCGTGCGCCTGAYCCAATGCTGCTGCAGGTTCCGGATCCCAGAGCCTGTGCGCCAGGTGGGGTCCAGCGCATGCCCGTCTACTTCTCACCACTTGTCAGCTCAGCTGGGGTCACACAGTAGTGGTTTGAGGACCAGATGGCCCTGGGCTGAGGGCAGGTCCATGGGCTCCTTGCTGAGGAGCCTAGTGTGGACTTATTGGGCCCTGGARGCAGGAGGGTGGACAAGAGGATGCAGAGTTCCCAGGAATTCTTCCCAAGACCGCCTACCTATGCCTCAGAGGCCACTGTGCCCAACACTCAGCCTCTCCCTCACTTGAGCCTCCTGTCCCCAGGCACCAGGTTGTTTGGAGGATCAGTTGATGTCAGCTCTGATGTCAGAGTGCTCCACCAGTCCCAGTCAGGAGCCCAGAAGAAGCAGCCCTCGCTGGAGGCCCTTGCAGGAACATTGGGGGAGGGGCCGAGGAAGGCTTGTGCTAATCAGGAACTCCAGGGTGTGGCTACACCAGGTACCCAGCACCTGAACTGGTGCTCAGGGGTCAGGGTATCAGCACTGAGATGAGCCAGTTGGCTCAGCTGAGAAGGAATCAAATCTGCAGCTGAGCACAGGATGCCCACAGCTCACCTTCGCCTTCAATCATGAGGGGGGAACACCAGTCACATGCCAGTATGTGTTCCACAGAAGCCATAAGGAGAAGCTGTCCTCAGGAAGAGCATTTCTGGCTCAGGAATGGCATTTGCAAAGGCCCTGGGGCAGGAAGGAGTTTGATGTGCACAAGCAGCTCAGCCAGAACAGGGAGGGGTAAAGCAACCAGTAGCCAGTTGGTGTCTTGAGCTTTCAGATTGTAGACCTCATCTGCAGGGACTAGGCAACCAATGTGCAGGATGTTCAGATCTGCCATTTGGGGCAGCAGCTCCCTGTATGCTACCAGGCCTTTGGGGAGGAGCTGGGGCATGGTCTGCACCTGAGACCCTGCCTTCCACAGCCCAGCCCTGGAGATTCTGCTGGGTGGATGGAGGCAGCCACCCAGCAGAGGCCCCAGGCTTGCGGAGAGTGGACCTCATCCTGCCTTGGCCTGGTTGCAAGAGTGCAGGATGGCCTCCAGGTGGCAGCAGCAGCCTGCACACCACCATGGCTGTGCTCCTGGGGCCTTTGTGCCAAGAGGTGGCTTGTGGGCGTCCACTAGCAAGAGCCTTGCTCTCTCTCCATCCAGGTTGTCACTGGGGTCTTAGGCACATGGGCTGTCAAACCTGTGAGTGTCCCCAGCCCCAAGAGGCCTTTCCTCTTCCATCTTTCCTAGTGGCCTAATGAGAAAAAAATCCAGGAGATTCTATCAGAGGCCCTCAGCCCTAGACCTCTGGGTTGTGCTATCCCAGGCCTGCTGGGCAGGCCTCTGCCCTCTTCTCAGCTTACCACAGAGTGGCCCCCTCTTCTGACAGTTCGGGGGTCAGCCACCTGAAAAGGGCTTTGACTACCTAGGAATAGGATCATGTGCCTCTAGCTGGAGAAGAGCCCCCACCAAGTCTTGAACCCACACTTCAGAGAAGAGCCACCTGTCCCCAGAAGCCCATGGTCCCTGCGCCTGCTGGGACGGGTGAGGGTCCCAGACCTGCCATTTTCTTCCTGGGCCACTGGCCTCAGCACCCTCCAGAAGCTCCCGTGTGTGGGATGGGTGTGGTCTCCGTCTCCCTCCCTGGTCGTAGATGCTGGTGCACCGCCTGTGTCAGGTGCAGTCGCTCCTGCCACGCAGGGCTGCTGCCTACCTCTGCTGCCACCCACTGCCCACCCTGACCCACTTCCCCACTAACTGAAGCAGGACCATCTGGGGATTAGCTGCTGCCACCCATGAGTCACGTGGCCCCAAAGCTAAGCTAAACCCATCTGAGCCAGGATCAGGGGGGCTTCCTGAGGCCAGGGTCCCACTTGGGACTGAGCCCTGTTACATATCCCTCCCCACTAGGGTCTGTCCCAGTCTCCACCTAGGCCCCGCAGCTCCCTCTCACTCTGGTAACCTGGCTGAGCTTTCTAGAGACGGCAGGAGTTGGAAGGAGAGAGCTGAGTGGCGTATCCAGGGAAGCCAGGCAGAGCTGCTCCCGTGGGGACCCCAGGACCCTCCTCCCCTGGTTCAGGGCCTCAACACTGAGGCTCTTGGAATCCCTGTCACCCACACACCAGGGCCTGCTCGTCCTGATTCCCAGAAGGCTGGGCCTGAGGAGGACTCTCTGTGGGAGGTGTGGGGGCGTCCCTAGGCTGCTGGGCAGGAACGATGTATCCAGAGTCTGGCTCAGAATCAGCCAGCACCTCACCGAGCTCTGTCTCCTCCAGGCTGACATCCGCTCTCGAGAACACATTCGCAGGACTCTGGGACACCTCAGGCCATCTGAACCAGGGCACGCCAGGTGAGCACCAGGAAAGGCTCATGCTGCCCACAGGTGGGGGCTTGCAGTGGCCCAGCCTCTCCCTGCTTCAGTGTTGTGTCTTGGGACTGGCCAGGAACCCAGAAGAGATCCCAAAGGGGGAGGAGAGTGAGACAGACTCCTGGCTTGGAGGGGACTCTCTGGAAACATCTGGCCCAAGGCCTGTCCCAGCAGGGCTATCCCAGCTTCTTATGGCCCGCTTTACCTTCACGGGACCCTGGCCCGGTTTCCACAGAAATGGCATGGCCTCTGGAAGGCCTACACAGACAGCTACATCACAGGTACCCTGGCCCTCAGTTTCCACCTCTAGAGGCAGCACAGTAGTTCATGTGCCGAGGGTCGGAGTGCAGGCCTATCGTGAGCACTGTGGGCAGGTAGCAAAGCCTGACGGCAGTCTCACCAGAAGGCAAGTACTCAATCACGCTGTTAGGTAGAGGAAGGTGAGGCCCAGGGTGTTGATAAGCAGCAACGCAGGCATCCTGGGTGCTGGGCCTGCCTCTGGCACTCCTCCCTCCCCAAAGGAAGACTGTGAGGTGCCCAAGCCTGGCAGCACCGAGCACTCGGGAGCTGTGCCTCCTCTGTGCCTGTCTCCCCCCTGCCCTCGTTTCCTGGAGGCTGTTCCTAGGCCTTGCTAAGCTGCTTTGAGAACTGAGAGATGGGCTGCTGGACTGCTCAGTTCCACAGTCGGGGCTGGCCAGCCTGAGTGCCGTGGGCCTTCCAGGGGCCACTCAGGGTCTTCTGGGCTGGCTGTGGCATTTGATGATGGCCCTTTCTCCATGTCATTACCAGGAGTCAGAAGGCACATTGTCCAAAGGCATGCCCCAAAGGGGGTCCAGGAGAGCCTACAGACCCCTCAGGACCACAGCAGAGGCCCCAGGACAGACTTGGAGGCTCCCAGGAGCAGCAGAGCCGGGACTGGAGTGGAGGAGATGGGGTGCCATGAGCACTCGGGCTGCTGGCTTCCCACTCCCGCCTCAGGACAGTAGCTGTGGGGACCTCACCTAACCACAGGTATAGGCCCAGACCCTGGACACACGCCCTGGAACAGCCAGCTGATGGCCAAGCACAGCCCAGCTTGGTCAATGACAGCCCACTCTCTCCAGCACTGGCTGGTGGGTGTGGCCACAATACCCAAATAGGACAGACCTTCCCAGGGTCAGTCCCAAACCAGAAAGTGCCTGCGATTGTCCTCCTAGAGCACAGGGGGAGGATTTGGGTTCCCGTGCCCAGTGGCCCAGGCTGTGCCAGCACCCTGGCTCTCCTGCCCCGTCCACTCCTCTGAATACCCTCCAGCCATAGTGGGCCACAGAGGGGGTTCATGCTGGTGTGGCCATGTTTCAGCTCCCACAAGTGTCCTCACCCTGAATCGAAGCCAAGGGTGGGCACAGGCACCCAGGGTTTCAGAGGATTCCAAACAGGAAGCCAGTTGAGGCCCATGCCCACCTCTGGAGAGCCAGGATGCTCTTGCCATCCCCACCCAGAGGCATAGCCTCCAGCCCCGTCTCCACTGTGGGAAGGCAGCTCATTCCCAGACCCATCTGGCCACTTCCTCTCTTGGCATGGGCTTGGAGTGGCAACTGAGAGGAAGGGCGCAGTGGGTGGCACCTGCAGCCTGCCTCATCCTGGTCTTTCATGTGCCAGTTTGCTCCCAGAGTGGAGAGGACAGGGTGGAGGGCTGGCTGCCAGATCCCGTGGGTCCCTTTCCCTAGTTCCAGATCAGGTTGGAGGAAGGTGGCCAGCAATGGAGAAGAGGAGGCGGGGGGGTCGTCCTTAAAGAAATGGAGGATGGTGGGACATCATGACCCTGAAACACCCCTGTCTATTCCCAAGCCATGTTACGCCCAGACCAGAATGTCCAGGTAAATGCCATCCTGAGGGACACTGACTCTCATACTTGGTACCTGGGCAGACTAGCGTTATCAGGAAGAGCTGCCTTCCTGCACACACACACCAGGCCTGCTGCTGCTTGGGATGCTGATCTGCAATGGAGCACTCTAATGATGTCACTGCTGCGGCCTGACTGGCAAACCCCCCTCCCTGGGTGACTGCCCTGGTGTTGGAGGCACCATGGAGATGACAAGTTCCTCTTGTCCAGCCAGCTACCATTGGACAAGGTGTGGAAAGGGATGGAAACACAGAAGGTTCACTGTGAGGGACAGGTACCGCCTGTCCAGCCTGCTGCCTTGGACCTTCCCCATGAGCAGCTTTCAATAGACTGATGTCACCAGGTGCAGTAGCACATACCTGTAATCCCAGTGGCTCCGGAGGCTGGGATGGGAGAATTGTGAGTTCAAAGTCAGCCTCAGCAAAAGTGTGGTGCTAAGCAAGTTAGTGAGACCGTGTCCCTAAAAAAAATATTAAATAGGGCTGGGGATGTGGCTCAATGGTAAAACACCCCTGGGTTAAATCCCTGGTACCAAAATAAAAATTAAAAAATACACTCGTGTCTTGCACACCATCTGTGGGTATTTCCTAGGTTCTCTAGGCAACCTGACCCAGTGCTCTTAGTACAGCTGGGCTGTGGGCCAAACAGGAGGGCAGCAGGGAAAGAGACTCAGGCACAGGCTGGGGGTGACAGGTTCCTGCTGAGCCCAAGGGACAGCCCATTACGTCCTATCAGGTGAAGTCAAGCTGCCAGGCCCCTAGGCACGCCAGCTCGCAGTGGGTGTTGAGGACCCCCCTGGGTGGGTCTACAGCAGCCTCTGATAGCTGAGCACCAGCTCCCACTTGGAATCTGTTTTCCTCATCAGGTTTGGGGCATTAGATGGCAGGTACGTACCAAGTCTCAGACACAGGACATCTCCAGCAAGTGAAGTGTGGATGAGTGCCAGGCTGGTCCCAGGAACAAGATGGTAGGTAGAGGGTGGCACCTGCCCACTGAGCACCTGTGCACAGGTCAGCCTCCTGGCCAGGACCCCTGTGTAGTCCTGTCCAGGGTGTGAGGATAACAGGGCCATAGTGGAAGCCCCCAGGGCTGTCCCCCTAAAATTTCATGTCACTGCCCTAAGCAGACCTGGGCTAGGCTCTCCAGGAGACACATGACTGCCACAGCCCTGCAGGCACTGCACACAAGGAAAGCCAGAAACGAGGTGTTCTCACCCAAGCCCAGGGAGAGGCACACYTTTGGGGGCCCCTTCCCACTGAGGATGGGAGAGGCTTGCCTGGCCCTTAGGGAGAGAGTGCACCTAAATCAGCAGTGGCGGGGGCGGAGCCAGGCAGGGAGCTAGGGGGACTCCAGGGGACCTGAGCAGGGGTGACTAGCTGCCAAAGACCCCAGCAGTGTCCAGATTCCTGTTTCCCCAGCATGCTCATAGGAAAGCTGCCACCTTATTCCACCCACCTGCTGAGGTAGAGGGCCTGAGCTGAGGCCTAGGACCCCTGCCAGGGTGCCCCAGGCCATCAGGGTCCCCAGGAGGCACAGCCCTGGCCGGCTGCCCACCACACCCCTGACAWGCACTCACCTTGTACCCCCTGGCCCTACCACCCACCCTCCCAGCTTCTTACAGATTTCTTTAAATTTATTTTTTTAGTTGTAGTTGGACACAACACCTTTATTTTACTTATTTATTTTTATGTGGTGCTGAGGATAGAACCCAGGGCCTCACACGTGCTAGGCGAGTGCTCTGCCACTGAGCCACAACCCCAGCCCTTCTTCCAGATTTTTCCCTCCCAGAGGTCCATCAGGAACCACGGTCAGAGAAATTGGAAGCACAAGGTTGAAGCTGAGGAATGGACTGCCTCACTGGTGCCTTGGGCACAGCACAGACGTCAGGAGGGAAGGATACCTGCCCCGCCTTCCCTGGGACTGGGAGGACCACAGGCAGAGGAACGTAAGGGTTGGCTCAGGCCTGGCGGGTGGTGATTCCAGTGAGGAAGGCTGTTTTTGGAGAAGCWGGGTCCACAGAGGCCAGAGGTAATGGCTGTCTAGCCAGCAGGCCACAGGTAGGGACAGTGGGGCAGACCCCTCTCATGAGGCTGCAAGAGTAGCGCTCAAGGGCACAAAAAGAAGCAGCAGGGTGCAGGCTCAGTTGGGGCTGGGGCCTGGGGCTGGGCCTGTGGCTGGGGCCGGGGCTGGGTGGGCAGCCAGACACCATGCCTGAGCAGAGGGCGGGTGGGGGCTAAGTGCAGTGGCGTCTGGGCTCCTTCCCGCAGAGCCTTAAAAATAGGCCGCAGTGATGTCCATCTCAGCAGACCACAGCTCTTCAGTGCTAAGAATATTTTTGAACCTCTTAATAATTGAAGTCAGATCCAAATAGACTTTCCAGTTCACCTGCGGGCCTCTGTGCCCCTTCCCCGCCCCCCAAACTGCCTAAGGACTGGAAAGGGGTGGCTTCCAGCAGTGGGTTGGCCTGGCTGCTGGGTCTCACCCAGGACCCCTCAGGACTCTCCTCTGACCTCAGGAACTGTGGGCACAGCCAGGGCTGGAATGACCAGTAGGATCTGTCCAAGGCCAGCCCCAGTCCACCCGCACCAGACACTGGGCCCCTTGGTCCCTTCTTCAACATCTCACTAGAGCCATGGGCCCCAGGGCCAGCTCAGGCTGCAGGGGCACCAATCTACCCCTTAGATCCCAGCAACTGTGCACACGCCCAGAAGAGAGCTGACGGGCTTTGCCTGGAGCTCTGTGTCTGGTGGGGACAGCTGTGTGCAGGTTCCAATGCAGGCTCCTGCCCTGCATGCTGCTTGTTTGGAGAGCACGAGGGGCCGGCTGCTCCTTCCCCTCCAGGCGCAGTGCCCCAGCTGCAGACACCCCTCTCCTACCCAAGGCAGCCTGGTCTTGGGTCCCTCAGAGGTGAGGAACTGGGGTGCCACCAAGGGCCTGCGTGAGGTGGGTCTCTCCAGCCTGGCCCACCTACCCCAGCAGCAGCCCCAGCAGCCCAGTGGTCCCACTGCTCTCCCCTGGCCAGGGCCTTCATGGAGTTTTGCCCATTACTAATAACAGCAGAGGCGGCTGTGCTGGCATGCGGGTGAGTGGCAGGTGGGTGGTGGGCGAGGAGCGTGGAAGGATGGTACAGTCTGCTCCCCGCCCCAGCCAAGGGACCAAGCCCTTCAGCCTCCACACCCCCTGCAGGCCAGTGAGGGCTGGTGGTGTCCTGCCTGCCTACCCCTCTGGYTTCCTCCCTTTCTCAGGCTCCTCCCACCTTGCAGAGGGCAGCTCCAGTTGGTGGCAGGCCAGGGGTGCAAGCTGAGGACCAGAACAGARCAGAAAGACCCAGGGCACCTGCAGGAGGAGAAGGAGGACACTGGGGGGCCCAGGCCCAGGAAGAGGCCTGGCTTCCTGGGCTCCTGCCCAGGCTGCAGGGAGCTGGGTGTGGCGGGAGGTTGGGTGCTTTGTTTTTGTTTGGTTTTGTTTTTGGTGATTCAAATTTCTTTTGTTATTTACTAAACAAAGTGTGCAGTTTGGAAGATCAGCTCGTTCTGCAGGGCTTGGGATGGAACCCAGGCCATTTCGCAGCCCCCTGCTCCCCCTGGTATTTCGGCTGCTCTTTCAGCATTTACTTCTGAATAGCAATGTTACTGCTGCTTTTCCCTTTACTTTTCAGATTTAGAAATTACCAATCAATATTCTGCTGTGGGGATTGAAAGTTTGTTCTCTCATGGAGCCCAGATGCACACATGTAAGCACTTTTGGAGCCCAGATGTGTGCGCGCGCGCGTACACACACACACACACACACACACACACGTACACGTGCACACCACCCGCTTCCTGCTTCCTCCTGTCCCCAAGAATCAGGATTAGCATGTGCAAGATGTTTCTTTGCAGACTGGGGTTGTGGCTTGGTGGTAGAGTGCTTGCCTAGCCTAGTATGCATGAGGCACTAGGTTGGATTCCCAGCACCACATAAAAAAACTAGATAAACATAATAAAGCTATTGTGCCCATCTACAACTGAAAAAAAAAAAAGTGTTTCTTTGCATACACTGGTCGCTGCTGAGGAACATGTTGTAATTACACCTCTGTACAATCTCTTGTGTTTCCTGGACTGAATAATTGCCTCACTTGGGTGGGGGGTGTTTTCTATGTGCCCATTACTTATTTATCCCCAAACTCTGCCATGGAATAAATGGAACATGAATCTCTTTGGTGCTGAGAACATCAGGCCATCTATGTGCTTATTTTTTCTGGAGCTTGTGGTAGCCAGTCTTCAAGATGGCCCAGTGATCTGCCCTCCTGGCACTGGTGTCCTTGTCCTACTGAGTGTCACGGGGTGGGTCTGTATGAGCAACGGAGGGAGGCAGCAGAAGCCATGGCTCTCTCCCTGGCTCCAGGTTAGGTTACGGAGCACTCTGACTCTTCCTCGTGGTGTCTCTCTGTGTCTCCTCTCTCCCTTTATCACTCTCTTCCTCTCTCTCTCTCTCTCTCTCTCTCTCTCTCTCTCTCCTCTCTCCCCCCCCATCTCTGTCTCTCTTCTCTTTATCTCCCCTCCTATTCTCTCCCTGTCTCTGTTTCTCCCTCTCTTTCTCTCTCCCTCTCTCCTCCACCTTTCCTCTCCCTCTCTCCCTCCTCTTTTTCTTTCTTCCTCTCTGTCTTTATCTCCCTCTTTCTCCTTCTCCTCCTCTTTCTCTACCGCTCCCTTTCTCGCTGTCTCTTCCCTCATTCTCGTCCTTTGCCTCCTTCTCCCCTTCTTGGTATTTGCTTTGAGGGAGATCTCCTGCCCCATCATAAGCTGCCCTGTGRATGGGTCCACTTGGCTAGGCGCGCAAGCATCCTGCCATTAGCCATGCAAGGGTGCCATTTTGGAAGTGGTCCTCCAACCCCATAGAGACTTGGGAGGATGGCGCCCTAACTGTCTTCTGGACTTCAAGCAACCTCATGACACCCAGAGCCAGAGTCCTCCACCATTCTGCTTCCAGATTCCTGTCCCCCAGAAACTGCCATAGTGACTCTTTGTCCTGGGATAACTTGTTACACAGCAGAAGATAAGCCACCCAGAGCCATTCTTCCTCAGGCAGGCACCTCAGTAACCTTCAAACCTCAGCACCATCCACCATCAGGACCCCTCCAGCCCCGGAAGTCCTTCCATCCACTTCCTGGTGGCACCCCTCCTTCCCACATCCCACACAGCCCATCCTGCCCCTGCCTCAGAGCCAGCGTCCTAGCCCTGATCTTCCAGCAGGAAGGCCTGGGAGTGGAGCTGTTTTGTTCAAGTCTTAAGGCACATGGGTATGTGACTTCAGGTGTCTGTCCACAGCCTGGATATGAACTGCATGTCACAGGTCACCATGTTGAAGCCCAGTGCCTGGAGGGCCTGCTGACTCCTCCTCCGGCCAGTGCTGTGTGGTTTGAGACCATCTGTGGTAAAATACCTGAGAAAATTGCCTTAGAAAGAGGACAGGCTCATGTTTCCAGAGGTTTCAGTTCACGGTCACCTGACCCAGTTGCTTTTGGGCCTGTGACAGAGTAGCATGTCATGGCAGGAACCAAGCTGCTCCCTTCATGGCATCCAGGAAGCAAGCAGGAAGAGACCAGGGGCCCACTGTCCCCTGGGGAGCACACCCCCAGCAACCTCACCCCACCCACTAGGCCCACCTTCCACAGGTTCCAACCCCTCGGACAGTGCAGTGGGCTGGGGACCACGCCTGACACACAGGCCTCTCGGGGACACTCAGTCCAAACCACTGGGCTGGGCTGCTGGGTGCCCAGGACTCCTGCACTTCACTGGCTTCTCCGTTGTGGCCCCYGCAGGGGGAGCAGACCCCTGAGAGCAGAGTGGGGCCATCCTCAGACGCACCCTGCTCCAGGCCTGGCCTTTARCCAGGCTGCTGTCCTCCCCAGGGTTCCTCACAGCCTCTCCAGTGAGCAAACCCTGGAGCAAGAGTGTGCAGGTGTGGAGCCAAGTGGCCCCGTGTGTATTCAGAACTCCAGGTCATGTGTGACTGAAACCACCAAAAGCAAAACGGGGTCCTGTGTGTCGATGCCAGGGTGGGCCAGCACTGCCCGGCCTGGCTGCCTCCTGGCTCTCCACCAGCCCCGCCCCGTGGGGCTCCGCAGGCAGCAGCAGCCCCAGGTGGGTCACTCCTGCATCTAGTGACTGCAAGCCCGGGCTCTAGCTGAACAGCTCTAGCAGAAGCCCCAGGCAGTGTGCCTGGAAGGCCCCGGCCTTCCCTGTGCCTGTCGCTGTGGCTCAGGGTGGCCAGAGCCAGGGCGGAGCCAGCCTCCACCCACCTATGGAGACAGGGGCCTCTCAGTGGAAAGTCCAGGCTCTGTTACCAGAGGTGAAACACCAGGTGGTGGAGCGGAGGCTGGGGCCTTGTGCAGAAGCGCAGGAGCTCCGGGACTCGTGAAGCTTCATCCAAGGCCCCAGGAAGGCAGCGTCTCTTCCCACCAGCTCCCTATCCTGTCTCCCAGTCATTCCCTTCCAATGCCAGCAGGGAACAGTGTGATTAAGGCCCCATTATTAACTTGCCAATCTTGTTTCTGGGGCACAGACGCTAACGGCTTAGGGGACCCACTTGGCATATAACGAGGTCTCYATGACAAATTACTTGGGTATCAATTAACTATCTGGGGAAATGTCAG